ATCAGTGAGTCGACGAGGCTGGCCTATTCCACTAAACCTGTACCTATTCCCTATTTATCGGCTTACGATACCCTACTTCACCTCCCCACTCACTGTTTGGTGCCCGCGGAGGTTCGCTGCTCTCTGCGCTAACAGCGTACCTCGATGCGTCGCACGGACGTCCGGGTCGCTGGCTGGAAGTCCTGCTGGTCCGCTGGCCTGGAGAGAAGGGAGCTATTTTCCCTCTGCGCCCCTCTATTTATCCTCCCTACCTTCAAGGGGATGCTGCGCTAAACAATGGGCTCGCGATCCTCTGGCACGCGCACGGCGGTTCTGGGTGCTGTTGATATGCTAATCAGTGTGCCGCGTGCAAGGCGTAAATCCTACTTAATCCCTTACCCTCCCTAACAATGGGGCCTGCGCGCTCAAGCGCAATTATCCCAACCCCCCATGACTATGCGCAACAGCCCCTGTGACCCCGCTATTCATGCTGTCTCGTGCCTCCCCTGCTTGCCCCGTCGACTCGTGGGGGTGTGTGTGGGGGGAAATGCGCCTCAACCGCGGTGGCCGAATGCCCCACGCCGCGACCACACAATATTAAGGCCGGCAGCAGCGCCGCGGTACCACGTAGCACGGGGGAGGTCATCCAATTCCCTGATCGCCGGAAACCGTGAGAATTAATCCCGATAAGGGTCTCTCGGATAAAAACCGGTCGATCAGGTAACCTTCCCTTCCAGCTCTATGGGAGGGGGGGGGATGCGTGCGGGTGTGTGCTTATGTGGGGCGGGTGATGGGGGGCAGTGCGGTGGGGGAAGCCGGGCGGCTCCCTGGCTCGGCAGAACGGCCCCGTCGCTGTGGCACCACACATACTGAATTCAACATACACACAAACATACTGAGTTCAACATACACACAAACATACTGAATTCAACATACACACAAACATACTGACTTCAACATACACACAAACATATTGAGTTCAACATACACACTAAATACTGAATTCAACATACACACATACATACTGAATTCAACATACATACACACACATACTGAGTTCAACATACATACTGAGTTCAACATACACACAAACATACTGAGTTCAACAAACATACACACATACTGAGTTCAACATACACACAAACATACTGAATTCAACATACACACAAACATGCTGAGTTCAACATACACACAAACATACTGAGTTCAACATACACACAAACATACTGAATTCAACATACACACAAACATACTGAATTTAACATACACACAAACATACTGAGTTCAACATACACACAAACATACTGAGTTCAACATACACACAAACATACTGAGTTCAACATACACACAAACATACTGAGTTCAACATACACACAAACATACTGAATTCAACATACACACAGACATACTGAATTCAACATACATACACACACATACTGAGTTCAACATACATACTGAGTTCAACATACAAACATACTGAGTTCAACAAACATACACACATACGGAGTTCAACATACACACAAACATACTGAATTCAACATACACACAAACATACTGAGTTAAACATACACACAAACATACTGAGTTCAACATACACACAAACATACTGAGTTCAACATACACACAAACATACTGAGCTCAACATATACACAAACATACTGAGTTCAACATCCACACAAACATACTGAGTTCAACATACACACAAACATACTGAGTTCAACATACACACAAACATACTGAGTTCAACATACACACAAACATACTGAGTTCAACATGTGTGACGAAGGGGGGGGGGGGTTGAGAAATGTGACGTCGCATCAAAATGCGCAACTTTAAATAAATATAGACAACACCGTCTACTTAATTAAATATACTGTTCTCTTTAATAAATGTTTTCTCCTACAACATCAGAGTGCAGCGCCACATTAAATACGCACTACAATGACAATAGTTTAAAGCGATTTGAAGCATGTTTATTTGGAGGGGGGGGGGGGCAGAGCTTTGTAACGTCATATTTGAGGGGGAGGTCTGACTTTTTGTGACGCCGTGTGACTGGGGGGGGGGGGGGGGTCAAAAATCGTCCAAAATCGCGTGACGTCATTTATGGACGGCCCCAAACTGAATCGTTGTTCCTCTGTTCTAAAAAATCGTTTACAAAAAACATTAAATGGAAAATAGCGGGCAAAATGTTTTACATTTTACCAAAAACAGGTCCCTGCGGGGTGGGCTGGTAGGAACGAACAAATACGATACGAAGGGAGAGTTTGAGGCCTAGTTCTAGGCTTTAGGCCGAGCTGTAGGCTTTAGGCCGCTGTGAGTTAATTTTTAATTAAAATGTTTTAATTAAAAACTATCTCAGGGAATTATAAGGGAATGTTACACTTGTTTAGCCAGGAAAGCCTCACTGAGTCTAAAGGTTTTTGTAGGGTCCTGCCAAGTGTTTGCAGTAGGGGGCGATGTTGCTACACCTAATCGGACATCGGACGAACGGACAGACGATATAATCTATTGTAGGCTGGTTCACTTCGTTCCTACCAGTAAAACCTCAGTCTAAATCTGCCCTTGGGGGTTTGGGGGTGGAGGCACCGATTGCATGGCCCGCCCCTGCTGCCTGCCGTCGTTTCCATCTATTCATTGTTCACCCATTCACTATTGGGGAGGTGGGTGGAGTGGTGGGGGGGAGAGTTCGTGGTTATTTGCTGCAATGTAATTGTTCACAAAACAATGTGATGATGGTGGATACGTTCACGATATGAGACAATGAACAAACGCGCTCGACAACAGCCGTCAATCGCACTGCCAGGCTGTTTGGCAGGCGACGTTCCGTGCACTTCAGTATTCTTCATCGCTTTGTATACGGTGCACGGTAATTGCCCGAAACGTCACCTATTACGTAACTTGTTGCTCTATAGAGCAGTAGTAGTGATGGCTCTGATGACATCTACATCTATAATACACCACTGTGTTGAGGTGTGCGTTTTTGCTTATGTGTGCTTGTTCATTACCACTGTAGAGGTGTTACGGGAGAGCGAACAAACACACCAAGGGTGGTTATGCCCGCACGCGGAAGGATGCTTACATCCACGTCCGCATCGGTTAGCCCTGGGGGGCTGAAACGGTGCTGTGATCCCCAACGGCCCCACTCCTCGGGGGGGGGGAGTTGCTATATAAGGCGGTGAGCTGGCGGGCTCGGGGTTCAGTGTTTAGCTTAAATCAGTGAAGAAAGAAGACCGGCTAGATAGGCCCTGGGACTCCCCTGGATCGCTGTTCTTCTAAGGACCGACCAGGGAAAGCCAGTGGCTTGGCCCCGAGAGCCCAGAGCCGATGCTCTTGTAAGAGCCGGTCTGGTGACTAAGGGTGCTGTGATCCTAGCTTGGCCAGAGCTGGATCAGCTAGCCTCCCCTAGCTCTCGAGTGGAGGATCTGGGAGTAGGCTAGCCGGGATGAAGATAGTGGGATCTCCCTGTGAGACGGGTGAAGGGGCCGATACCCCTTGGAGTGTTGTATACCTTGGCCTGTATTGAGTGAAACGTTTAATAAATAAGTCTGCCTCCGACTACGTCGTCCACGTCTCATTGAACCTACTACACCACTAAAGCAGCAACAGCATAGAAAATTGTATTGCTCAAGGTATAACAAATGTCGCTATTATATTCCCATAAATATTGAATTTGTCCTTCACTGACGATGCGTGATGAATGGATGAATGTGGTTGTATGGGGAGCGGCAGTGTAGCGGTGAGCGTGCTGCGCTACGAACCCAGCGACCAAAGTTCGATTCCCACTCATGGCAAACAACAGTGACGATGATCTGAACCGGTCCTGGGCCTCCCCTAGGTCGACTCAGCCTCAAATGAATACCTGTGGTGTGTAAACATCGCCAATGGGGAGACAAAGGCGGCCGGGCGTGGTATTAGCCACCCACCCCCTCGTGTGCCGTGCTGGCCTTCATAGGTGCTTCTTGCTAACAGCACTTGCCTCAACAGTCTGCTCAGACTTTACAGGGGATCTTTGTCTTTGTGCCCAGCTGTAACTGCAGTTCGCTCAACCAACGCCTTTTGCCATTAAGTCTTCTATAGAACCTGTAACGCTTACAATGCGCATGACCGCCAGTTACACGAGTCATAAATAAAAATAATATATTCTTTAGCAATTATCACGGTATAATTACCGCGATATCGATTAACTTGACCTTTTTAAATTGCATTTCACATTTTTTTCGTTTTATTTGTGCTTTTCTGCAGCTTCCAGTATTAATAGGCATTACTCATCACGTCTTCAAGCGCAGAAGTTCACTCAACAGACACCTACCACCGGTTGTATATTCAATGTAAATTTACAACCCCAAAAGCTTGCAACGTGCATTGTTCTGCCTCACTGCAGGTGTTTTGCTCCACGGCAGGAGTGGGGGTGTGTGTACATAGGAATTTCCTGTTTTTGATGCTGAGTTTGGTCACGTGACCAGGAAGTTACGATTTGACAGCCTCGCAGCCACGAGGCAGGGGCCAGCCATTACACAGAGTTCAAAATGGTGGCACAAATAGCGTCTCCGTGAAGACAGCTGTAACTGTTCATTGTGAGACTTTAAGAAGCATTGTCTGTAAGTCCGTTTATGTTCTTTTAATATTGGGAATGCTGTTATAATGTTAGAATGACCGTTATAATGCTGTAAATGCCTTTATAATGCTGTTACATTATGATAAATATGAGGCCTAGTTAACAGCGAAGCCTGCCACTTGCCTTATTGTAAATGTTACTTGTAATAGAATAAGTCGAATCAGACTTGTACCCATGTAACCTTATTGCGATCTTGAGAGCAAGGATGACGAAATATCTCATCCACAATTCAGTGTTGTGTGTAGTGCTGTACATTTAGGCTGCAGCATGTTGATTACACGATGTGCCCTTACTTAACACAGTAGCTTATTCTCTTGTATAGCTATTCAGTACTAATGTATATGCCTGGTCCATCCAGGATCTATTGTTGAGTGTCATGTGATCTAAGACTATTATGATGCTGTAGTGTTCATTCATTGTATTGATATTACAAAGTATTAACAGATGCTGTATTTGTGCTGTGTTTTTCCATCAGTTTTACCTCGTTCAATTCATTAAATACGTTTGGAGTCGGATGTTCACCCTGGCTCTGAAGGTTTATTGAATGCGAGGTTATTTACTCAGATAGCGGTGCAACGCAGCGCACAGCGAGGCCGAGACATGCATTGTACTATCAGTCACATAAGAGCAAAATAAACCGTACTGTGAATCAAATAACTTTGAACAATGATAGATGTAAGGCATTTAGCAAAAAAACGAATTTCCTGTGTTCATGATCATTCAAACATTAAATATTTTTTCGTCAACAAATAAAAAAAAGTTGTAACCTAATGATAATCATTTTATTTTATGTAGCGTCATTCATGCTAATGGAAGCCCATAACGCTGTACAATAATTATACATGAGGACCAAATCCCATATGCAGCCACAAAAACCACAACGTAATGATATTCAGCACAATCGACAACACGGCCAACCGTGGGTTATGCGCAGTAGGATGCAGCAGCACCTTATAAATCGACCCCAGCATGCATGCACCACGTGTCTACAGCGTCCTACCCATCCATCTGTCCCTTCTTTCCTCTCTTCCCGCGTCTCCTTTGCTCAGGTGGCATAGTAATGACACCATCAGCTCAGGGGGTAATGCGGCAATCGGTCAGGGTGGGGGCCACCCAATATTCGGACGTATTGGCGGTACACACCGCTGCGGCATAACACCACACCGGTCCTCATAAAACAGTCTGAAAACTAAGTTTAAACCGATGTTCGTCTTCCGCACCCTTCGACATCACAAGAAGTGATTTTATGCACAATCACCCCACAAGATGTTGTGACCGGCGGTTGCGTATCCTGCGAAAATAAACAAAAATTGCGAAAAACACGACGTACATTTTTTTTTATGCCACGCAACCAACCGGTGTGCCGCCAACAACGTTCATTTGACTTGTCTCACGTGACGGTGGCACCTAGGTTATTGTATATCGTGGCTCCTCTTGCGATCATTACATGCGGTTTTGTTCTTTGACACTCATCACGGTGGCTTTGGCCACCAGTGCTGCGGCCATGGCACCCCCCCTGCCTGCCCCCCACGCTGCTCGTTACACCGCTACTGGCACCACCGCTCCCTTCCGCCGGGTCAATCGGAGACTTCGGGAAGCAGGCGGCTGTACCCGCCGCCGTGCCGTCGCCGCCTGCGGTGGTGGATCAGGGAGCCGCCCACGAAGAGAGCCGCAAACACCACAGCCAGTGGGGTGAGCAGCTGGCTCAGGTTCACTGTGGGGTTGGGGGGCGAGGTGAGGGGGAGAGACCGGAGGAGTGGGGCAGAGGTGGAGAAAAGAAGGAAGCACGGCATCACGACATCGTCTCTTTGTGATGTGACTGCACGAATCTTCAGCCAATATGAGCGCCACCTCATGACAGATGTCAATTGTAATGCCTTCTAACTCGCGTTATAAATCTGCGTTGAAAACTAATTTCTTTCAGAACTGCCTGTTGTTGTTGTGATTAGTTTGTTGCCCTTTCTCCATACCTCTGATAATCACGGTTGGCTATGTATGGTGCGAAATAAGTTCAACATATTACATACTGTTACCACATCATCACCGTCACCACATCACCATCACCACATCACCATCACAACCTCATCATCAAGCCACTGGAGCTATGCAGTTTTAAATCTAGATTGAAAACTCATGTATTTCGAACTGCTTGTTGCTGTATTTAGTTTGTTGTCCTTCCCCCGCACCTCCAATTAGCACGGTTGGCTACGTACGGTACAAAAGAAGTCTAACATAAACACACATGTTGTTGCGTATCTGTCGGGGGGGGGGGGGGTTATATGGCAGTTAGTGTGCTGGCGCTACGAATCCAGTGACGCGAGTTTGATTCCCGCTCACGGCCACCAGCGTCAGTGACAATTATCTAAACTGGTCATGGGCCTTCCCGAGGTCGACAATGGGGAGACAAAGGCGGCCGGGCGTGGTGTTGGCCACCCACCCCCTCATGTGCCACCGTGCCGACCTTCATAGGTGCTCACTAACAGCACTTTCCCCAACAGTCTGTTAAGCCTATCCCGTTCCCAGACGTCTGCAAGGTGCAGGGTGGGTCCTATTTACCATTGAATCTCGGAACGCGCGAGTGGCTCAGCATTATTTTTTTTTAGAGAGAGGCGTAGTCGTAGCAGCGCCATTGTTTTTAAAGACGTTGTACTGTACTCACCGCACAAAACCGTAGCGACACAATCACCGCACTCTACAATAGTCGGCACCAAAACTGTGCCACACGTCCCCTCCCCACACGGCCTTGTGGGAGCCTCGGTACCGATAAAGTAATTTTATTAAAGCTTTTCTCCTGGTTTCGTTTTGATGACATTACGTCATCAGAACGGGAAACTATATTGGAGGGGGGGATCTTTGTCTTGGGGTGGAGGGTACCTCCGGTTGGTCGCTCCGCCGATTCCCCATAGACCAGCGGCCCTCGTGAGATGGTGTGAACCTCCGACTGCACCACACCCTCCTCCGCGCTCCTCCTACGCCTCGCCAAGCCCCTCCCTGTGGGCAGGCAGCCTTGCTGGCACCGCGTGTTGGGCTCTCCCACCTTGCACACGATCACGTCGCAGTGGACAAACACCTACCAGCCAGAGATGGGGGGGGGGGAAACACGAGACAAACGGACAAAGCCTGCGTGAGGCCGCGACCCAGTAAAGGCAAGCACTCCGCTTGACACGCGTGGTGTTCACACGAGGCACGTTTTCACCACAACGCGGCTCTTCTATTTGGGGGACTCTTTTTGTGCAACGCGGAGTGCCCACCACTATTACAACGAGGAACGCTGACCGTTATTACAACGCGGAACGTGCGCCGTTATTGCAACGCGGAGTGCGCACCGTCATCGCAACGCGGAGTGCGCACCGCTATTACAACGAGGAATGCTCACTGTTATTACAATGCAGAACGCGCACCGTTATAATGCAGTGCTGAGCGGTGAACGGCGAACTACTTTTCTTAAGCTGCGCGGCAGAGCGGTGTGGGAATTCTGGGTATGTCCACGGAATGATACAGTAATGCAGCACATCCTTGTATAAGTTATTTGTCCCGCCGTCTTACTATGTTCCCCTGGTGAGTTCGCGTTGACAAAGATGAGGTGCGTTCTCTCCTCTGGCTGCGCTTCTGTTGTTGGTCTCGGTTTGCCAGCCATCGTTCCCTCAAAGCTACGTGTCCTGCCCACACCAGTGGCGGCTCCTTCAAAATCTCTCAGGGGGGGCAAATGTCTGGATGATTGATAAGGATAAGGTCCACCCATGCAATGGATAAATTAACAGCTTAAGCATGTAAAGGCAACTTCACTTCTTTAATATTAATGAAAAATAAAGTGACTCTTACAATACATCTTGTTTGTTTCTATACTCACTATTAAAACAAACCACTCAAGTTTACTTTATTAAAGATTCCACTAGGTGGCGATAAATTATATTGTTGGATGAAACGTGCTTACGTATGATGACGTTAGCACGTATGATGACATAAGCACGTTAGTGCAAGCCCTCCCGGAAGCCATAGAGAATGCATTGGAGCGCCCGCCGTTCGAAAAAAAACATCTTTCAATGTAAGTCTATGGGGCCACTCGGGGCGATTCTCAGCCGGAGTGAAATCGCCCAAAAAGAGGCGGTACTCCACAGAACGTGACATGACGCTGATTGGACTATATCCAGAGGCACAGTGACGGCTAGCGTGACTCTGTGGTTCAATGACATTGGTGGTGCGTTGCCCAATCGCCCTAATGAAGAAACCGCCCCTGGCCCACACCCACTTTACCTGTCTTGGCTGTTTGGATGATGTTTCTGGAACTTGTGCTTTATTGTCGAATCCACATTGTTCATCTTCCTACCTCTCTGTGTGCATCACCGGCCAGCACCTCTCCGTGCTTCTCTGTGCACTTTTAAATTGTGTACCTATCTGATTGAACAACTTTCTTCCGTGTTACTTTTCCAGTGGTGCATTGTCTCTCTTTGCTCTCTCAGGTGGAACGTAATGGCTGTGTCTGAAGCGCTGAGCCAGCAACCTCTGAGTGACTAAGTTCGAGCCATGGGTCTGCGTATGACCTCCTGTCTCAGGTAGATCTTAATGGCCATGTCTGGGCGGTTGGACCTGGTGGAAGTTGCCGATGAAGTTGAACGCCGTGAAGCTGAACTGATTCTTCTTCAGGAAGCTGCTGTAGCTCCTCCACGTGGGGTCGGTGGGGCAGCTGCCCGGGGGACAGAAATCAGCAGTGTAAGCATCGTCACCATCAGCAGCAGCAGCAGCAACAGCATCAGTATCATCAGCAGCATCAGCATCACCATCATCAGCATCACCATCAGCATCACCATTAGTATCATCATGATCATCTTCCCCATAATAAGCATCATCATCAGCAGCTTCACCATCAGTATCACTCATAATAGAGGTTTTTGGGTTAGGTTGGTTAAATATAAATGTGTCGTTAAACCCGCCAGCACCCGGCACAGACAATTAGTATGGTTTGTCACGTAAAAAAAACATGGCAATTCGTTACTAGTGTAGAGGAGTAAAATAGGGACGTGACGTCAGGTGTGCCGTTCAGTGCGATGACGTCACGTCTCCTAGGGTACTTAAGGGATACCCCGTGATGTACGTGGGGTCACTATGGGAACGGGGAAAGTAAACAGGGTGAAGAGGGAACCAGGGGTAGAGAGAGGGATCGAATAGGGAGTCTGGGGAGAAGCCGGTGGTAGACGTAGAGGTGCTTCTCTCTCCGGTCGGTGGAGTCGGCAGAGTCCACGATCCGACACGAGAGAGAGAGACCGGAGCTAGCCGGCAGGGACCCAGACTCAGAGTAGGACCCCTAGCCCCTGGGAGGTGTGTACCCTGTGTAGTATTGATAAGTGTTAATAAACCCTGGCGAAAGCCCTTAACTTACCTCCGTCTACGAGTACGTTCGTCGGAACTTCTCTACACTAGTACAGCACACACCATTTACAATTCGATTACCACGACTTTTCACCAGCAATTACAACGAGCATCATCAGGCAGACAGCCAGAGTTGTCGAGAAAGCCTCCTTCTAATCCAGTCTTAAATAGAGGGGATAAATGTGATGTCTTCACTTGTGACCCGATCAGGTGCGAAGACCAGAGTGGGGGGGGGGGGGGGGGGGGTTAATATTAATGGCGAAGGGATGGGGTTAATGTTGGTATAACCTCGCGGACTCTCCCGCTACCTCAACACTAATCTTCCACTCACCCGTCCTTGAGGAGGTCATATCGGATGGAGTCGTGGGGGTCGCCACTGGGCGTCGCATAGCAGTTCTCGGTGAAGAGGGCGATGCTCACGGTGGACTTGACGGCGAGCTGCAGGTAAACCTCCTGGCTCTTCTTGTAGTGCACCGGGAAGTCGTTCCTCCTGTACACACGGTGGAGGCGGTGGTGGGACTCGCTTCAGACTGGGTTTTGTTCGTGGTGTCATGGTTAAGCGCGCTGGACTGGCAGTCCAGAGGTTGCTGGCCTGGTTCGACCTATTTTGGTGTGGAAGTGAAAATAACGGTGCAAGTTTATTTAATTCCCCCAATCGCTGCTTCTTTTTCTTTCTGTCTTTCATACGGTTGCTGATGTAGATGCAGAGACAACGACTCCAATTTCACATTCAGGTGGTCAAGCCAGATAACTGTGTCAGGAGCAGCGGAGTAGTTTGTAGTCGCTGTGATGTCTCCCTCGTGCGTCAGGACATCAATATTATGGATCATCATTATGATCGAGAAGTACTCGCAACTTCGCCTGGTAGGAGTCCCTTAACGTTCAGTTGGAGGATGCTCGCCCCAGATAGGACCTATCTGGCTGCGCTGTCATTGTTTGGCCTTGAAGAGGGGCCGTTGGCATGGCATCGTGATGGTCAGAGTTCGGTCGCCGCATCGACGGAATACGCCGTAATTCCTCGCTTGACAGCAGAGTGGGTTCGCGCGAAGGTTTCCACCCTTCCCCCAATCTCTGTCCACACAGCAGTAATAGCGTGTACAGCACAGTCCGTCGATCAGTAGTCGCGTTTGTTAGGGTAAAGTGTGGGTACTCTCACCTCTATTAAAGGTGTCTGGTCAGCGTGCAAGAGTAGGCAAAATACCCTGTAGAAGGGCTCCCCTAGTAGTAGCATGAGTAAGAAATAGGACAGCTTAGCTCAACCCATCTGGATTGGTGACCCACATCCAGACCACCTCTCTCGTTATGGCTGTGGCTACTACTAGTCAGGTGTCACCTCTCCTGGGGTCAATCAGCGGAAAGGCATTCTAGACTATTTTTTTTATTTACTAGGAAAGGCTCCACAGAGCTATACAGCTCTTTTTAGAAGCGACCTGGCCACAAATGATAGCTCAACCAAGTTGCTTATCATTACATGGACATTTATAGCAGCAGTCAAATACTTTAAACACATGTTGATTCTAAATGTAAAGGGAAAAACCAGAGGACCCGGAGATAAAATCCACACGACCATGGGGAGAGAGACACGCAGACTCCAAATATACAGCAGCAGCAGCAGGCATTGTCAGGTTCGAGATCGAACCCACGACCTCCTGTATACGGGGCGCGGTAGTTAACATCTCCTAGCCACCGTGATGATTATGAGAGAGAGACGCAGACTCCAAATATACAGCAGCAGGCATCGTCAGGGTCCGGCTCGAACCCACGACCTCCATACCAGGCGAGGTAGTTAACATCTCATAACCACAGTAGCCCCCCCCCCCTCCCCCCTGATTGCAGTGAAGATCCCTGCCTGTAGGCGAGCGCGAAGGCATCCGTGGTGAAGAGGTCGATGGTGAAGACGAAGTCTCCTAGTCCCTTCTCCGTGATGAAGATGCTGCTCGTGTCCGGAGTGAAGCTGACAGCCAGATTTTTCCGCTTGTCGTACACACAGCTGTGAGTCCGAGGGTACAGAGAGAGAGGGAGGCAGGGAACCGGGGATTGTTTCCACATTGTAATTTTTTTCATCGACAGTATTCCCTCGGATAACATCTTTAATCCGTTCCACGGAAACGACTTAACCAAAATAACTGTTGATCTAATTCACTTGTAAGTAAAAAAATAATATTTTAAAAAATCACTGAGTCTGCAAAGAGAGCTGTTTAATCTGCTAAAACAGATAACGGAAATGTAAACAAAGCGAGTCGAGGTTTAAACGCTCACAAATGGGCGTCGTTGATTGGCTGAGGGCATGGCTCAGTCTCAATTTGTAACGTAAGTCGAAACCATGGGGTCCTATGGGAGGCGAAAACATTGACCTGAAAAAACGATAACCGATGTCACTGTTAACTGAGTATGAGTTAAATTCTCACTATACAATCAAAATCAAGGTGTTCATCATGGCCAAAGCCATTGATGCCACCACACCTCGACAATGTTTTGCACCTTTCACCAGATCATGCCACTGCTGCACATGACACACTACCTTTAAAGGGCCACTTTGGCCAACATCTGGGACAGGAGGTCATACAACGCATCTGATTCATCATCCTCGCCTGCATCCCTCCATGGATGTTCATCTTCGATGGGAGCGTAAGCCACTACGGCCACCATTCCTCACCTCATGTTGATGGGAAGCTCACAATAGCCTTGGACTCATGGCTCACCATACCTCACCCCCAAACGCCCTCTAATATTTTGTTCACACCCACAGCCACGCAAGGACAAAGGTCCCCGGTGTAGCCTTAACAGACTGTTAGGGCAAGTGTTGTTCACGAGCAGCACCTATGAAGGCCGCCACAACACGAGGGGTGTAGTTTGCCAGCACCACCCCCGACCACCTTTGTCTCCCCAGTGTTGATATTTACACAATGCACCAGGTACTCATTTTAGGTCGAGTCAAGCTAGGGGAGGCCAGGACCGGTTCAGATAATTGTCACCGGTGTCGACCATGAGCGGGAATCGAACAAGGTGTTGCCGGGTTCGTAGCGGAGTGCGATAACCACTACACTGCAGCATCCCACAAGACATAGATCATCCATGTAGCCTACACAGCCTGATGGGGCAAGTGCATAGACACACTTACTTGATGAGAACCACAATGTCATTGAAGTTGCGTGTGATCACTTGGCCCCTCTCGTCTTCCTTCAGTGTCACCGACTGGGAGAAGATAATTGACGAGTTCGTTTCCTGCGCGATCGTGGGGCAAAGGGGAGAAAAAAAGGGTGACGGAACGAGAGAGATAGAGACACATCATCATGGTTGTCGACAATCTCTCATTTCTCCGAACAATCCACCTAGGACCCACGCAGGAGCTGATTTTATCGCTCAAATGTATCTATTTCATTTGTTGATCTATTCGTTTATCAGTCACTTTATGTGACTGGCCCGTCAATCTATTCGTTCGTTGGTCTATCCATTGACCGATCATTTCATAAATTAGTTAGTTGGTCAACCTTGCCATTGGTCGATCTGTTCGTCGGTTAGCCAATTTAACGGTCGGTTAATCTATTTCAATTGTCAGTCTAATTGTCGGTCCATTCGTGAATCCATTTATCGGTCGAGCGATCTATTTGTCATTTGTCTAGTCAACAGATCAATCAATGGACATGCTGATAGAGCCATCCCCATCACCTGGCAGACAGCGCCGCAGTCAGTGATGCCGATGTCGAAGGTGATGAAGTCTCCGTCATCGACGAGGGAGCAACCAGGCGGCGTGGGGTCATTAAGCCGCGTGTCACTCGCCGTGTAGTTCAGCACCAGCATGCGTGGGATGCGCGCAGACATGCGCTCTCCCTCACATGACAACTCCACCTCCGCTATGGGGACGGAGAGGAGGAAGAGGGGACGAAGTTAGTCGTGATACTGTGAGGAAACAGCATCGCTGCATCGTCTACATGCATAATGACTCGTTTGTTGCTTGTGACATCTGCAGTGGAAAAAAACAACCTGGCACCTCCTAGGCAAAAGCAGGCTGGCTCAGCTTGGCCATGGCATTGCTTGATTGTGCCAGTGGAAAAAAACACTCATACCATGAGGGGCCCCGGTGTTGGTTCGGCTCAGATGTGGCAGTTGAAAAAACGGTTATGATATTCTTAGGTGTTTTCGGTAAAGTCACGTAGGTAAAACATCAAAATTAATAAAAATAATAAAATAAAAATATTTTTATTTTTATTAATTTTGATGTTTTACCTACGTGACTTTACCGAAAACACCTAAGAATATGATTCCTTGCAGTCACGAAAGCTTCAAGTCTAGAATAAACGGTTATGAGATGTGTGAAGACGTCCCTGCGTGAGTGGCCCTGGCAGAAGAGAGGAGTGAAGGGGGGGTGGGTACCTGGGTGACAGCCGAAGTGGCCCTCCTTGAGGAAGCACGCCTGTCCCCCGTGGCACCCGCCCGCCTCCTCCACGACCACCCCTTGGGAACGGCACGTGAAGCGACGCGAGCAGTCGTGGGTATACCACGACTCGGCCACCTGAAATTGCAACATACATATGTATTTACATTGTCAGGGTTGTGCTCGCAGCGAGGTAGGGTGTAGCGATAGGATGTAGTGATAGGGTGAGTGTTTATCGAAGTGTGACAGTGTTCGTGTTGAGCTCACGTCTCTGTAAACGCCGTCGTACGTGCACCCGCAGTCTGCCGCCGCCACGCACGTGCCGCCCTGGAGGAAGAAACCGGCGTCGCACACGCAGCCCTCGGCGCAACCGCGGCTCGGTGGGCACGAGGCTTCGGGCAGGCCGCACGAGGGCGGGCACGTGGAGGCGCACACATGGTACTCGCTTTGAGCTGGGCACACCAGCGCTGTGCACACACACGTACACAGTAGACATGTGGTTACAAGCTGTCAGGCACGCTTATCACTGCAACTGCCGGTGTTCACCACTGATTGGCGGTGATGTCACCGTAGCGCTTGGGGGCCGTCCATAAATGACGTCACGAGATTTTGGACCCGCGTCACAAAAAGTCAGACTCCCCCCTCAAATATGACGTCACAAAGCTCTGCCCCCCCCTCCACCCAAAATAAAACATGCTTCAAATCGCTTTAAACTATTGTCATTGTAGTGCGTATTTAATGTGGCGCTGCACTCTGATGTTGTAGGAGAAAACATTTAATTAAAAAAGTCTATTTAATTAAGTAGAACGTGTTGTCTATATTTATATAAAGTTGCGCATTTGAATGTGACGTCACATTTCTCAATCCCCCCCCCACCCTCGTCACACATCGTCACAAATGTCTGACCCCCCCCCCCCCCCCAGGTGCGTGATATCATTTATGGACGGCCCCTTGTGCCACCACATTAGCTGCACTTTGAGGGCAACGTGAAGTGTCGAAGGCCCGCTGAGTAGGTGGTCTCGGAACAGACCCAGTTGCCGTGGGTTGACTGAGATGATATGCACGCACAGGCAATGGGGAGCAGCACAGAGGCCATCCCGACCACAGGCAGCAGCTCGGTTTTGCTTACAGCGAGCTTCTCCAGCGCCGTTCTGCTGGCGCGGAGTTCAGAACGTTTACTGCAGTTGACGAATCTGTGGACGATGAGTGGCCTGCAATCTCCATTCTCTCTCACCTCGCGTGGTCCAAAACAAGCACTTTCTGGCATTTTCTCATGATTAAGCCTGTAATTATTAATCGTCATCTCTGTGGTGTACGCTCTCTCAGGTTCATTCCCTCCTCTGACTGCCTATCCATTGTGAGTCTCGTCGGCTGTATCAGTTCACGGCCATGCAATTCAGGGTGGGTGGTACATGCACCAATAGCGCGCGTATATTGAACTTCTTTTGTACCGTATGTAGCGAACCACGCTTATTGGTGTTCAGAAGAATGATGCGTAAGCTATAAAAAGCCATTCTGCAGGCTGAGAATTACATTGATGACGTTCTTATCTGCACAGAGACCTGAAGATAATAAATGGAGCTGCTGACTATGGATGGTTGAACCACCTCACGGACCAAAATGCGAAATTGGGAATAAAGGTCATTGACCATTTAGGGCAATAAGTAGGTGAAAACAAGTCCTCAAATCAAAAATCACCTATAACCAAAGAGGAACTGCGGTAATTATGAGGATAAATGGGGTTTAATAGGAAGTGCATTCCCAACTTTACAAAGATTGTTAAACCCCTTATGGACCTGATGAGGAAAGGTACAACAAATAAATTGATTGATGGTGAGTAAGCAAGCAGAGTATTGAGAGACTGAAGGTACCCTTGAAACCAGAACCAATTCTGAAATTGCCTAATGGTAGTGTAGCGAAATGAGATTCATTATACGATTCACTGTATATATTATGTCAATATGAGTGTTTAACCGGAGGATGGGTTAAACCATTAAATGGCACGAAAATGGTACAGCCCAGATTGAATAACTGGTCGCAAGAAAAAATACATTTTGAGAGAGACTTGAGCCACCATTTTGAAAGACGAGGTCCGTTCTCAAAGAATAATGCTTGATATTTGGGCCTAAGGACATGTGTATGTAGTTTAGTTTAATGGTACCTGTAATATATAAAGAAATCATAGGAACGGAGGGCAGAACATGGTTTAAAATGCTAAAGTTTACCGTGAACATTATATCAATATGCGCGAGTAACAGGTGAATTAAACACCCGTCATGAATGTCACGGAAATAGCACAACCCAGATTCGGTAACTGGTTATGAGACATTTGTTTTGAGAGGCTTGGGCCACCATTGAGGAAGACTCCTTGATATTTGGGCCTAAGGACATGTGTATGTAGTTTATTTTAATACGTTTCCTGTAATATATGAAGAATGCATAGAAACCAGGGGCAGAAAATGGTTTAAAATGCAAAATTGTACCTATATAATATAAATATGCGCGTGAAATAGAGGAATGCCCATTAAACACCTCTCGTGAATGGCGTGCAAATGATATAGCCCAGATTCGGTCACTGAAAGTAAAATAAGTAATATTTTTAAAAAACTTTTTTTTAAACACGCTTTAATGAAATGTACCCTACTAGTAATGGAAGAACTCCAGGAAGTGGCCCGAAGCTTGCCATAACGTAAGGGACCGTGGTGATTTACAGCCAACGTCAGATGACGGTGGACAATTAGACCCAAGCCAAAGCATAACATATCAAAAATAATGTTTATTTTTATGATAGAATATGTATTGTCATCAGTATGACATAAGTATACCAAGCTTACAGTCGATACCACATTGGGAAGTGGGTTAAAATTGAGTTAGAAGATTTGAGAATACAACAGAGTGAGTTAAATAAAATCGTGTAAAAACATATTTGAGAAAGACTTGGGCCACTATTTTGAGGAAGAATCCTTGGTATTTGGGTCGAAGGACATGCGTAAGTAGTGTATTTGAATACTATACATATATTATGAATGCTGTTACTTTATGAAGAATACATTGGAATGGGGGCAGATGGTTTTAAAATGATATCATTAAAGTGCACACCACTCCAGACAATCGGCCTGTATATTTACTGTATTGGTATAAATACGTGCCATATGCTTCTACAAACCAACCAAATGTTGACTGGATTAATATATTACACGAAAATAAATGCTTATTTTTAATGAATATTGTTACTGAGGCGAAGTTATACGAATGTGTTAAGATGTTTATCCTCGCTAAAAGTTATTATCAGATATTATCAGGGCGTAATTGGAGAAGGTAATTAGGCTTAATATTACTTGGGGAGAGGAGGATCGATGGGTGTAATGGAGACTGCACGACGATATTTTGTTCTGGTAAACGATCAGTAAGGGACATCGTGATGCCCCTTCGCATACCGTGTCAACCCAAACGGTTTACCCTGTATTCTTGTACAGGGAATATGAGTTTTCAGGTCCATAAAAAGTTGTTTTTGTACATTTGTTTGGGTTCCTCCCTTGTGATGGGACTTTGTAGGCTGAACATTGACATTTTATAAGGGTATGGGGTGACCAATAAGGTCTGAATTGGTCTGTAATAAGGTAGGCACTGATAAGGGGTTGACAGGTATGCTATTGTTACAGTCACGCTATGTGGAGCAGAAGCCAATGAGAGGCTGAAGGGAGAGTTGTTTGAGGTGGTGACTTTGCTGAGAGCGTCATCCGAGACTAGATAACGCTCTCAGCAAAGAGGGCCTCCCATATTGAACTCCTCTCGGACTCCTTGCTTCATCGTCAGGACACCCACAGACCCATCACACGTCTGCTAGTAAGGCTGACATAGCAACTACGGCCTGGTCACAGGGACGGTGCTGCCAGCTCCGAGGAAGTTTGTGTCACCGCCCTGCTTTGGGGACTTAGAGCAGCGGAGCGTTGATGAGCTGCACAGCAGAGATCGAGCTTCATGTTAATGGTAATCTCGCGGTGTTCTTGTATTTGTTGTGTTCATGCCGGGTTTCTGTTAAATGTATGAGATACAAGGCTCTCTCGCTTAGTCTTGTGTCCATCCTGCTCATCCATTGGAGCCTCAAATTACTCCGCTCCACAGCAAAATATTTATTCTGAAGACAGAGAAGGTGACGTCTTGATGCAGGAGCACGGTTCGCTGTGATATAGATGTGGCCAAAAGAAGAAGAGTTACTCCCCAATTGAAGGGGAATGTTTTTTTTTTATATGGGCGGTGCAGAATGAGTGATGATGGTGGTGAGACAGGGAAATTTCGCTTACGGCAGTTTGCGGCCACCCTCCACTCCGCAAGCACCACTCCGTGCGTTAGGCACGTGTCGAAGTATGCCAGCAGATTCGAGCAGCGCAGCGCCGCATCCATGCCCGACACGGCCAGGTCAAACACGCAGTTGGCGAAGTATGGCCCGGGTGGCACCGTCGCGAAGCACGGGGCGAAGGGCGACTGGGCGACGTGCAGGAAGTTGCACGGCACCTCCGCCAGCGCCTCGTCCGCGTCGCTGGGCGTCACCACGCGGCCGTAGTCCGGCCCGCAGCTGTGGTCATTGAAAAGAGATGCGTCAGGTTTTATGGGGGGCGGGGAGAGGGGGATCAGCACAGCGACCTCATTAAACTTGGTGGCTTGAGTATTGTCTTTAATAGAAGAGACCAGAGTTTAGAGCCAGCTACACGTATTTGCGAGGCCAGCATATCTTAGTTTGGAAAACCACTTGTACCATGAGGACCACACATAGGCTTAGTTCGGATGTGCCAGTGAAAAATGGAGCATGTGTGCATGCTATTTCTCACGTTGCTTTACTGGCGGACGTCTCGCTCTGCCATGCATTGCCAAACGTGTACGGCGTTCTGTGGCGTTCGCCGGCGGGCCCCGTGAAGTCGTTGCTGGCGTCCCCATCGTAGTTCCCGCACAGCCCCTCAACGGCGCCCACAAAGTCAGCCTTGATCCCCACGTCCACATAGGCGATGCCATCGTATCTGACGGTGAGGCCGGCCGCCGGCACCGACAGCACTGCCAGGTTCCCCAGCTGCACCACTGTGGCGCCGGGCAGCAGTGCCGGCAGGCTCACCATCTCGCCGTTCAGCTGCCGGGGCCGACAGTTATTGATCGTCGTCGGCATCATCGCTTTATATTTACTATATTCTCTGGATTCTAAGATACTCCACAAAGTAAGCCGCACTGCAAACTTTGGGGGTAATTTTTTAAATGATCGAGTTTTACAATCAAGGGAATACCGTACTAAAGAGAATCACCTTCAAATAGTTTATTATGAACTCGCAACTTAAAAATGTCATGAAAATTATTCTGAACAGCTGGTGGTTGTCTTCTGTCCTCAGGGTTGTGATGAATTGCTGTAGAAAACTGTCTTCTAGAAGAGCATTCTGAAAAGCTGGCCTGAACAGCAAGCCACCACAGGCTAGTGGGACCATGGGTAACCTGTTGATTACTCTTTCCTTACCACATCTAGCATCATTGGATGGCATAAGGGCCTCAAGGAGGCCTATGGAAGGAGTGACTTTCCCTGGTGTATTCCCCTGGCCACCAACCACATCCACACCACGATTTGGTGGCATCAATCACATCAATCCTTTATGCTTTGAATATGCTTCAGTTACCACGCATCTGCGATTGAAAGCAAGCACATCCGTGTCCGGAAATGTTTTGACATGGTTCGTTGAGTTTGTCGGTGTGTGTTTTATTGATGAAAACAAATTGCTAAGCCAAACCCTCACCTGCACGGCGCCCCCGGGCAGGAGCCTGACCCTGGTGAGGTTCCCAAGCTGCACCTCGACGGCGCGCGTGTACGACACGGCGGCGAAAGAGCCAAGCGCTTCGTTCTCCACAAGCACTCGCCACGCGCCGTCACGCGACGAGCCGGCGTAGCGCGCGGACGGAGCGGCCAGCGTGTATGCGCACGTGCCCATGAAGTCGAAATAGGCGCCGTCGAACGTCACATAGTGGGGGTCGCCGGACGCCTGGCAGTGTCCTGGAGTCGGTTGGGGGAATGTATAGAGTGGGGAGGGTGGTTACACACGGAGAGGAAGAAGATAGAACTGGTCCTTGGCTGCCAAAAAGAAAAACTTAATTGTGAAAAGCCACATAGCAACACTTTCTTCCTCCTGCCAGACTCCTGCCCATTTGCAGAATGGTTGTGATGATGATGTTTGTATTGATTGTAATGTTGGTAAAGAGGATATTGATGATAATGATGATGTTGATGACCTCACCCTCCAGGGCGTTGCACCCAATTTTGCCATCGTCCGTGAGTCCGCACGTGTGGAATGCAGGGCAGGAGTAGGCGTCGCAGTCTAATCCGCCAGCCTCGCACACGCACTGACTCCTGCAGTCATCCGAGATGAACTCATCTCCCAGCTGGACACATGCGCACACGCACGCACGCATACACGCACAGAATCATCAGCATCATCAAGAGCATTAGTATAATGAGCATTACGAGTCATCATCAACATATTTCACATTTGCTTCATCATCCTCATGCGTGTTATCATCATTACCCATTACCACCTTGTGCTGCACAGGGCCATTTGCACTTGTGAGTCCCCCTTGGCTAGACTGCTGTAGGCCACCTCGAGATGTACTGCATGGGAGGTTCATTATGAATACAGGCAGTCCCCGGGTTACAAAAGGGTTAGGTTCCCGAGAATGATCCATAACCTGAGTTTACCATATGTCGGAAACTGAACCATTTTCCCCCAAAATCAAGATAAAATCTTGTAAACATAAATAGTTGTGCCTCCCCTACCCGATTACTATTTCTTTTTTCTTCAGTACTGTATCACGCTGCCGTCCGTTTTCTATCGCGACCTGTATCGTATCGCTGTACATATGCTCTGCACTTCCTATGATTCATTCATTTAATCGAATATCTACCCTAACTACCCATAATTAAACTGATGGAACGTATACTTTATCCAGAAAACAATTATGTAACGCTACAAAAACATCCATTTACCTTAATCCTAGTGGGGCTCGGTGAAGGCGGCGTTTTGGCCCCGCAGTATTCATCGACAAGCTCACTGCGATGCACTATTTGCGCTTACGTAACGAACGCAAACATTTCTGAATATTTATTTTACATGATTTATGGGAGCATTTTCCATGAAGTCAGATCTTCATAAAAAGGAGGAGGCTCCACAACAGGACTATATTTATTTCCTGTCGCAAACTAATGAGGAGGCCTCATGTGGCATTCTTTCCCAGACTCCAGGAATCTCTGGGTGGCCCCTGCTCTCGCACGTGAACACACACGTCGTCGCCGCCGCTCACCTTATAGTACTTGCCATTGCTGATGCAGCCGCACTTGTCCGCGCGCACGCACCGGTCGTGCTCCAGCAGGTAGCCAGCGTCACAAACGCAGCCCTCCACGCAGCCTCCCGCGCACTGACCCTCGCCCGGCCCCCGCGCGCACGTCACAGGGCACGGGGAGGCGCAGTGCGAGTACGAGCTGTTGGTGGGGCACGCCGGGGCGGCTGTGGAGAGGTCACGGATGAGGAGGGGAACATGGTGGAGGGTAGGAGGAATGGAGGGGGTAAAAGTAAAGGTGCAGCCCTGCCATTACTTGGGCGTCACGGTGACGAGATGTTAACTACCTTGCCTGGTATACAGGAGATCGTGGGTTCGATCCCAACCCTGATGCTTTTAATTTAAATTTTGCATGTTCTCCCTGTGGGTGCGTGGATTTTTCTCCAGGTCCTCCGGTTTTTCCTTCCACATTTAGACTCAATATGTGGCGTTTAGAGTATTTGGCTGCAATGCATTTCCACGTGATATGCCACTTTGATGAACTATCATTTGTGGCCAGGTCACTTCTGAAAAAGAGCTATTATAGCTCAGTGTGACTTACCTAGTAAAATAAAAAAAATATCACGGGACCTCCTTTGCCAGTACCAAAATATGAGAATAGGTTTTCCCCTTTTTTCTGGCAACAAAATAGGTGTTAAGATGTTAAAACACCAAACTGAAACCTTTTACAAGGAATCATGTCCGCATTAACCACAATACTTGTGGTCAGAATGCAAACAAAAAACATACTCTGATAATAGACCAGAGGATGCCAAAACGCCTTTGGCATCCTCTGGTCGAACACCGTTTTGAGACTCGGCTCAAAAGAAAGCTGTCTCTGGTTGGACCAATCAGTTTCAAAGACAATGCATATATTATCAGAGTATTTTTTTGTTTGCATTCTGACCACAAGTATTGTGGTTAATACAGACATGATTCCTTGTAAAAGGTTTCAGTTTGGTGTTTTAACATCTTAACACCTGTTTTGTTGGCAGGAAAGAGGGGAAAACTTATTCTCATAAAAAAATAGTTCATAATTTTAGTTTAGTTACTCATGCCACTGCTGTTGTATGGGCTCTATGAAGCCTATAAGGTATGTCTTAAAAGAGGCGGAAGTATCCACACATTCACTACACGTGACCAGTCGATTGACTGTGCTACATCCATTTATACTAGTGGTGATTTCAGAAACTTGCACTATAGTTTTAATAACCGAGCCTAGAGATCAAATCAAACCAGCGACCTCTTTTCAGTGTGCTGTTGTATATATGCCTTTTCCAAAAATGCATATAATGGTGATATGCGGTATTTTGAATGTCGTAGCTTATTGTAGACATACACACGTGTGCTTTTAGAGGCAACACATTTATTGTAACACCGTAACACAAAAGGTAACGGCCCCTTTCCCTGATACAGCCTCGGGTGGTGGCCACCCAGCTAACTACGCTATACAGAGGGGTTACTGCTACGAAGGGTCGGACCCTCACTCGGGCCTCTGACCACGTGATTGCCTCGTAAGACGAAGCGCTTCCAGCTTGAGACGTAGAGCTTCCCGCTTGTAGGTGTTGAGCTTCCAGCTTGCAGAATGCAGCGACCCCGGTCCCTCTCAGGGACCCGCCTTATATCCCCCTACGGTCGGGGCCGCTCCGTCCTCGGCCCCGCCCGCCTTCTCGAGCATTCTCGTTACCTCTCGATCCTTCTCAAGAGCTCTCCCCGGACACGTGATCACCCACTAGCCCCCCCACCTGGGGCCCCCTGTGTGGACACTCCAGATCACATGTCTATGGGGTCAACCAGAGTGCCATGGCCCGGGGCAACCCTGCCCCTGGGCTGACACCCACTCCCCCTCGTGGGAGCCCCCACTACACACTGTGCATGGTGCCCGTACTATCCCAGTGCTCACCAAGCCCTACTTGGGCTGGTATTACACACAGCCACCCACACGGTGCTGTTCACGATGTAGGAACGGCACGGCCCTTATGGGCCGGCACCAATCAGTGACATCCCCGATGTCACTACACATGCATCATACGTAAATAAATTGTTTATTACCATGAGATGTTAACTTGCGTGTTTATTTTAATCACGTGATCGTGAGATTTGACCCTTGATGCTTTTATGATCGTTCAGTAAGTGATAAGTACGTATATTTGCATGGGTACTGTAGTTCTATTCTGATAACTATTTTTGGATGTCAATGTCAGTTGATAGTAAAGTTTCGATTTAAAGCTTTCGTGACTGCAGGGATTCATCTTGGTTCTTTCGGTAAAGTCACGTAGAAGGGAAATAATAAAATAAAACATAATAAAATAATTCTCACGACGTTTCGGCCACAACGCAAGCAGCCGTCCTCAGGTAAAGAACAGGTCTGTCGGAAAGACACTTTCCGACAGATAGTAAAGTTGTTTAGATCACAAAGGGTCCGATCGCTTCTTTCCTAACTCATCCATAATTTTTCTCCATTGCAAGAACTGTATCCCGCGGTGAGATCTGAATTCTGGGACCTGACATAATTATACATAACTTGTAAAGCGAATCATTGATATCGTGATTGATAAAAACATACCCCTAGACAGCGTGAGAGCCAATAATAATAACTCGTGATTAAAGCGAGCATTCATTACTTAATTTACCTCACTAATTGATCTTGAATTCATAAAATCTATATATAAAAGGGAAATTTGTGAATGTGTGTCTATCCAAAATGTTTAGCATACTTCCCGAAAGGCAACAAACTTGAAATTTGGCATGTGGGTAGCTTCCAGACTGTACACAATGCAAAAAGTATAAAAATAGACTTTTGTATTTTATGGGGGGGGGGGGGGGGGCGCAATAATGGATATATTTTGCATGGCAAGTGAGCGTTGACGTCACATCTGTGATGTCACCCGCATGCGGCAGCGTTACGCAGTGTGCCTGCTGATGTCACGCATCCCCCCCCCCACCCTCTGTGTAGGCCGTGTATTAATCCAAGACAAGAATCCAAGTCTCGGGCGAAGCCGGGCAGTCAAGCTAGTTGTATATAAAACAATTGTTTTATGATAATCACATGCATGATCGCGCCTAATCATATGCATACTCATGAATCATTATAATCGGCAATAATACATTCACAACACGTACGTTTAATCACATTTACTTAACATTACACAATATACATTTTCATAATTGCACTTTTTTATATCACAATATATACAACAGTGCTAACAAATACACCATGGTGGGATCAGAGCGTAAATACACCTTATGCTGCATATGGACAGCTGCCACTAGGGGACCCCTTGCCCAGACTACTGCAAGGGCAATGTGGATAGTTGAGATGCTGTGTGATGAAGCTGGGAGACTCACGGCAGAACGTCTCGTTCCTCCAGCCGTCAAGGGCGACGCCGGCCCTGACGCATGCGACGTAGTACGCGGAGAGGGTGCGGCACAGCACGGCGCTGTCGAAGCCCTGCAGCACCAGGTCGAACACGCAGCCGTCCACGTAAGGCCGCGGGTCGACGACCCCGGCGCAAACAGCGAAAGGTCCTGATGGATCGCTGAGCATGCCGCACTTGTCATTCTGCGTTGCCGATGCAACATCGTTTGGGTCCAGGGGCTTGCCGTTACCCGGGTCGTTGGAGCCACTGTGATTTTAGGAAGAGGCGTGGGCAGACATTTGGCATGAAGCTAGCAGATGTTCTTGCTTGGACCTGAAGTGCATCCGTGATGTGTGTGAATGCGCTAATGCTGAAACACCATGCTGGTGATTAGGAGCCCATGGGCTGCACAGAGGCCTAGCAGGCTTATACCGTTGTTATTGAGCTGATCTGGCCCATGCCTTTTCCAATCCCTCCTGCCCAACTCTTAGTGTCAATAAAATAACTATCCCGGGTGGACACTTTAGCAAGCATCTTGGACAGGAAGTCAATAGAAGGCATCTGACTCATTATCCTTGCCTGCATCCTTCCAAAGATGTTCATCTTTGGTGGGATCATAAATAACCACTACCATTTCCCACCTTTCGTGGACAGGGAATTGAGCCCACAACAGACTGGGACTTGCGTGTTCCCACACCTCACCCCCCCACCCATTCATTTGTTTGATGTCATGAAGTAGGCTGAACCCCCCTTCCCCTGCCCCCCATCAGTGTTTCTCCAGAAACACAGATCACTGTGGCCGGCCACATGGAATGACCAAATTCTGGCTGGGGAGGAAAAGCTACCACTCCTTTTTGAGATGGATTGGTACCAACAGGATCTCTGTGATCAAGTAGACCGGTTTTGGCTCCACCACGAGGGGTGGACATTCCTCAAGGCAGGATCTCATCAATCACACACACACTCACGTCTCGGGAGAGCTGGGGTCCGTTGTCTTCCAGCTGTTGCCAAAGTCGGAGGCTGACGTGGTGTGAGTGCCGTCACTCATAACAAAGTCGTCACTAGGGTCTCCGTTCATGTTGGAGCAGAGGCCGCACAGGGCCCCGGCGAAGGAGGCAGGGAGGCGCGCCGTGGCATGGCTGTTCCCATCGTACAGAACTTCGAGCTCAAAGTCACTCAGCAGGCGCATGAAGTTCCCTGAGCGAATCACGGAAAACTCCGCGCTGCCATTGGAGTAGTAGTATGGCACGTTGATCCTCACTCCGTCCAGCTGTGGTAAACAAGCGTTTGTCAATGCTACCGCTGCTACTGTGTATATTGTGGAAATATACACAGTAGCACGGCAGTTGAAACTATAGTACTCGCACACAATGACAAAGATTACCCTGTATAGCTTAACCAGACTGTTGGGGCAAGTACTGTTAGCGATCACCTATAAAGGCCAGCGCGGCACACGAAGGGGTTGGTGGCCAGCACCATGTACTAGGGGATGCCCAGGACTGTTTCAGATAATCGTCACTCGTGACTGTGAGCTGGAATCGAACTCAGGTGGCCGGGTTTGTAGCGCAGTGCGCTAACCACTACACTACCACTCTCACACACAGTGTCGCAGTCATACTGTAGAACTTTGGGTGGTCCTACTTGTAAAATGTTTAAAGTAGCTTGCATTACAGATGCAAAGTGGTACCCATTATTTTCTAATGCTTTCATTTGAATTGCCGTTGCTACATGATATGTAGTAAAAAGGTGGAGGCCTAAAATTGCTTACTCAGCCACTGCTGGAAAAGGGGACTCCACTACAAGGAGCTTTATAGAGCCCCTCTTGAGGGTATTTATACTTCTAAATACCCTCAAGGGCCCACACTTTACTCTGAATCCAACCAGCGACCACTGGATTGCAAAATCCAGTCTGATAACCATCACACACCATGGCAGCACCCCACTTATGGGAACAATAATTGTCCTTTATTTACCCAGCGAAACCTCACCGACTCTCAAAACTTTTTCAGGAGGGTGCTGCTACATTGGGATGATTGACAAATTCCACGAATTCATCGTGTGGGTGGAAACTGAAACACGTCGATATATTCAAGAATCCATTGCCATCCTGTTCAAGAATCCATTGCCATCCTGTTGTATCATGGCCACCTCGCTGAGGAGATCCACCGCATGCTCAGTTGAGCGAATTGGTGAGTCTAACCGAGTCAGACTGCCTCGAACGCGCCTGATCTCTTTGCAGCTCAGAAGCTAAGCAAACTTGAGCCTGACCGGTGCTCGGGACGGGGCCTAGACTCACGTAAACTTTCCAGCCCAGGCCGAACTGCACGCGATGATCGTAGAGTTCGATGAAGACATCGCGGGTGTAGGCGATGGACCAGCTGCCAGAGATGAACTCGTTCTTCACCTTCACGATCCAGCTGGCTCCAGAGCACGGCTGTGTGTATGAGTGCATGTACACACACGTACAGCGGTTTTAATTTAGTCGGCATTTATAACTTTAGTAATTGTCATAGGGATGTACAGGAATCCCCCGCGATTAATTTCCGCATCATGCGTTGTTTCGCATATACGTTGCTGATGAATTAGGGGAGATTTCCTTTTAAGTTTACTGTTTCGCATATGCGTTCTTTAACAAAAATTGGCAAACATGTTTCGCGCAATTTTTCATTTAGGAACGCACACTGTGAAAACAAACTATTTTGCAATTTAATACTGTACTGCACGACAATTTTCTAGATGCAAAAGTCGTTCAGTACTCAAGCCCCCAGGAGTGGCCGTGGAGAACTGACGTTCAGGATTCACAGTCCGTAATTTGGGGACGATGAGCAGATTGAGGGACGTGCTGCGCAAGAACGTGGCAGGTTTTAAAAGGAACGATTAATAACCATGAAAGGTTTGATACAAATAAGAAAAAAAGGCACAGTGACAGACAATAGTGATGATGTACTCAGTTTGGGCAGAGACAGGGAGCTGATGGATTGATTTAAATGCAATGGAGGAGTTTGCGTCGTGTGCGTGCCCGGTAACCCTGGGCAGCGCTCAACAATTTTATTTGCAGTTGCTGAAGTTTATTGATGTCCCTTTGTTGAATTGTTGATGTCAGCGTGAGTTTGGCATTGGAGTAGTTGAGTCGGTGAACCTATCACCTAGCTGGGAGAGTGGTCAAGAGCATTGCCTGGCTGAATGTGCCAGAGAGCTTCGAGGTGGTGATTGCGCGAGCTGATTGCACGAGCTGATTATGTCGTACCTTCATGTCGCATCGAAAGTTATTGGTCGAATTTCATACCAAGGAAGGCCAAGAGAGGGTACAGAACTGATGGTGGAGCCAGCAATGGAAAAATGTGGTCGAATTGAATAGTCGCCTGGTATCCAGGAAGAGTACTTCAACATGGGACCTTTCTTGCCAGTATTAAAGTATAAGAATAGATTTTACCCTTTCTGGCAATAAAACGGGCGTTAAGATGTTCAAACACCAAACAGAAATCGTTGCAAGGTGTAGACCAGCGTGGCCGGGGGCGGAGCGAGGCCACGCTGACAGTATAAAAGGGGCCCCTGTAGGGGACCTCGGGGCTGTTGTTGGAGTGGGATCCCCGTCGTACTGCTGAAGTCCTTCGTCACCGTTCTTCTCGTCGTCTTCACCATCCTTCTCGTCGTCGTCTTCACCATCTCGGAGCGCCGATAGTCAGGCAGCCTACCAACTGTCCTGGCTGAGTAGCGTCACCGACAATAGACGGCCTAATTATTAAGAGTGTTAACCTCGATGGTGCTTGTTAATAAAGAAGTGCCTCCAAGTCTTATCGTCTCCGAGTTAGTCACTACAAATGTATTGAGAGTTCGATGTTAATGTACAATTTTTATTGAGGGACTGGATGTTGTCTTGGTGTAATCTTGGACTTTTTTGCTGTCGTTTTTCTGCCTTTTCGAAGCTTGGGATTGATGATGCAATTTGAACTTAGATACTTTATTTAAGAGACGCCACGGTGGCTAGGAGATTTTATCCTCCTCGCCTGGTATGCAAGATGTCGGGGTTTAGATCTCGACCCTGACGCCTGTATATTTTGAGTTTGCATGTCTCTCTCGCTGTGGTCGTGTGGATCTTTTCTCTGGGTCCTCCGATTTTCGCTCCACATTTAGAAACATGCACTGAGATTATTCAGATTGTTTTGGTGCTATAAATATCCAAATGATGGGCCACTTTGTTTAGTTATCATTTGTGGCCAGATCGCTTCTGAAAAATAAGTTAATACCTCAGTGGGGTTTGCCTGGTAGGTTGTGTTTAGTTTTATTTATATGTGTTTGGGTTATTTGTTTACCTTTGTTTTACTTTGTACTAGTATCATATTTTGTACTGTTTATTGAAACGTTCTTACCCACCCCTACTGGACATTTGTGAAAAAGAGCTTCATAGCTCATCGGATTCCTTCAGTATAAATATATATTCTGATTATGATCATGAATTCCTATTGAAGCTCTCAATGAGGTGGCCAATCGGTGAAACATACTGAGAAAATAGTGTGGGGGCCAAGCACAGCGTTGTTGTACTCCAGCAGTCAATGTCGACACAAAATGAGTTCCCCACCTTCCCGAAGGAGCGTCTACCAGTTGGATAAGACTTTACCTGCTGAGTGTGAGGCTGTTAGTTGCAAACTCCATCTCCAGACAGTCAAATAAGGCCTTCATACCGCAGTGAATAGATCACGGATGAGGCTCACGCACCTGTGTGAGGGCATAGGTGTAGGTGCCCATGAAGTCGAAGGTGCGGCCGTCGAAAGTGATGTAGTGTGGGTCACCCCAGGCGGTGCACTCCACTAGAACAACGACAATTGCATCGAGAATAATATCATTATCATCAATGACGTGAACAATGAAAGTATTAACTACAAAAATAACATTCTAGATTTATACACCACCATCACTAAGATATTCAATAGCGCAAAAAAATGTTTCCCCCCCATCCTACTCTCCCTGCCCCCCGTCCCCCCCTCCCCCCGTTTCCACCACCCATCCGACGTACAGGCGCCCCTCTTGCCCTCGCCCTCGCACCGGCATCACAAAGGAAATTATGTTTATCTATCGGCTTAACTCAGCCAATCCCCCCTGCCCAACCGCCCGCGATGTCGCATGCTCTCCCCGCCTCGGCTACTTGGCTCCTCCCCCCTCTAGTACCCTATATAAACATGCGTCTCTAAATAACTCTCTTCATACGCTACAGTAATTTTGCTGGACCAGTCACACCTGATGACGGAGGCTTGTGTTGCCTTCGAAACGTCGTGATTTAATTTAATTGTTTTATTTTTAATTTTTTTAATTTTTTTACCTACGTGACTTGACCGAAAAAACCAAAGAATATGTAACAATAACATTCACAACATCGTGAATTACAACATCATCAACAACAACATAAAACTATAAAGAAAGAATGCATTGATTCTACCACGTAATATTTACTATTAAAGTAGTGGCATTTGCCGTACACTAAGCATGGCACTTTCCATAGATACCGTGGATTGTCCATGTGCATCCCTTGTTTCAATCTAATACCGGTTAGAGTCTTCCCACGCTGCGTTGATTGTTGTGGTTATTTGACCATAAATTGCCAAGCTGTTCGGGTTGATAAAGTTGCGGAGCATAGATGTAGGAGCAAAACAATATACAGGAAAGCCTTGCCCAACACAGTTTTATGGAACGCGTGTTTAGGATATACACGATTTACTAAATGAGGTCTGTCGTCCGGAACACGGGGGTGGTTTTCTGGCTCTACGCGGTTTGACACTGTTAAGATTATCATCTCTGCGGTGAAAAGTAGTGCCCTGAGAGTACGGCATCCATTGGAAGGTGGGACTGAAACGATTTATTTACCACAAATGTTTTTACATTTGTGCTCAGCGGAGCACAACGGTACAACGCAATTGTTCGCACTTTGCCACATGCACCTAGCCATCCACTTGTTGAGGACATCAGTCAGACGGACGCCTAGATGGCGAATCATTAACATTTAAGTGCCACAGTGACGGGGTCAAACGTCAGGCTGGCGATTCAGTGTGAGGGGCAAGCGTTGGGCGTGAGTGCTGCGGTGCGACAAGGGTCATGGAGAGAGGCGTGTGTATACAAGTAATAGAGAGTGACTCAGCATAGCGAGGGTGGAAATCATCTATAAATAGTTCAATAAAGATGGAGGAGGTGATAATATCGGACCGAGGAACATAACCCTATTTTCCCCATAAAATATATTATTTGTCGTATGCACTTTTGCCCAACATGAAATTTTCCAGAAACATAACTCTGAATTTAACCGAGGTTCCCAACATGGCTCACAGTGTCTGCTCAGCATTTCCACAGTCACATGCAGCAAGCGGAAAATCACGTTACCGCTCAGGCCACGCCACCGCACAACAGTGGTCAGTGCCAAGCAACGTGGAGATAAAGTCGAAATAAAAATGCGGACTCACGGCTCTTGCGGTGACACCCGTGCACCCCCTTGCTGTCCGTGCCACAGAAGTTGAAGGCGAGGTCGCAGGAGCTGGACTGGCACTGGATATTGTCGGTGGATGCGCACGTGCACTGCACGGCACACCCGTGCCGCCAGAACGCCTCGTTCAGCTGTACAGGGGCGAGCAGGCGGAGGGGAGCGGAGAGGGTAGATGGTCTCGTCACGTGGGGCAAAAAGAGCAGTCTTAGGTTCCACCGTCCTCAAGCCTAACCTTAAACCGTATTTCATACACCCCAATCCTAACTCAAGTCCATAAAGCCTAACTCTTAACCGCTACTCGAGACCTAATATTTATAACCCTAAACTAAATTGGAATCCCTCGCCCATAATCCTGGCCATATACCTAACCTCTTAAACCCTACTCTCGAAAACTCAAAAGCCCTAAACCCATAACCACTAACCATAAACCTATAACCTCAACCCCAACTCATAAAGCTAACCCATAATCCTAATCTTATACAGCAATACCTTGACTTTCGTCCACTTGACTTTCATCGCTTCGCTCTTTCGGATGTTTTCAATTATAACCACATTTAAAATTTAGTCCACGTGCTTTCTTCTTTCGACAGATTTCATCCCAAACCTTCCGCGACGTTCATGCCACGCGTCATTTTTTTCGTCATCCTCACCAATTTTCTCCTTCCTATTTTATGATTCTAGATTCCTCCTAAATCACCAATATATTCATCGTCCACTTACGCAAAAATAAAAATATTTCAAAGTATCATTTAGTTTATTTATTTAGTTTTGTTTATTATTTAGTTTGGTTTATTTATTCTTACGTTTATATTTCTTTTATATCCGTTTTTTTAGGTTTCGCACGCATTTGTTATCTAGTTACTGTAGTTATTTGCATGTACGTTTTTATATTTACTGTAGTTATTTGCATGTACGTTTTTCGCCGGCCAAAATAAATTTGCAAGCTAAATAAAGGCTCTGCTTTGACATTCATCCATTTTTGACATTCGTCAATGCTCTGGTCCCGAACCAGATGAAAGTGCAAGGTATTCCTGTAATTGCATACAAGGAGCTAAACGGGTGCGGCACAAGTGGTAGGATGACGTCACACTCACTTAGTGCTAAATAGCAGTTGTAGTTGTAAGATGGGGGGGGGCACGGATTAATTGACTGAGTCAGTGATTGTTTGACTATGGGAGGACATCACCACTCTCCTTGTAGTGGCCATCGGTGTCTTGGTTGAGCTTCCCAGAAATTTGGTCTATTTTGGCAGTGAGTGCCGGAGGAGTGTGGCAGTCCGGGGTACGAGCGAAGCTGTGGCGGCCACTCACCTTGTAGTAGCGGCCGTCCGTGTCCCGGCACCCGCACTGGCCCGGGTGCACGCAGCGGTCGCCGTCCCATAGCTGGGCGCTGTCAGCGCACTCGCAGCCCTCCACGCAGGGATCCGCACACTGCGCCGGGGCCGCGGGGTCATAGCACGTGGCTGGACACGCGGGGGCGCATGAGCTGAACCGCGTGCCCGCGCCACAGCTCGTCACTGCGAAAGAGACAAAGATCCCCGTTTAGCCTTTACATTCTGTTGGGGAAAGAGCTGTGAGTAGTACCTATGAAGGCCGGCATGGTGGCACACGAGGGGATGGGTGGCCAGCACCACGCTTGGCCACCTTTGTCTCCCGATCGGTGATGTTATTAAACACAATCAAATACAGTAAAACCTTGGATTGCGAGTAACTTGGTCTGCGAGTGTTTTGCAAGACGAGCAAATTTTTAAAATAAATATGAATTTGATAAACGAGCGAGGTCTTGCAATACGAGTAGTACGTATATGCTTTGTCTGCCGAGCGTCACGTGATCACAACTGATATACGAGTGCTTTGATATACGAGTGCTTTGGATTACAAACACGTTTCCGGAACGAATTATGTTCGCAATCCAAGGTTTTACTGTAGTGGTTTTTGAAGGGCATTTTGACTTGATCACAGGCCACCCTTAGGGCACAATCGGCACTATTATTTCCTCAAGCACCAGAAGTGGGAGGGTCGCCCAGCTGCTCAGCGGGTCCCCCTCATGCAAATTACCGCAGCCGGTGCCGTTCCTCCACGGGTAGGCGAAGGTGAACCCGGCCGCATTGCAGGCCGCCACATACGCCTCCAGCGACCGGCACAGCACCGACATGTCCAGACCAGACAACACCATGTCGAAAACGCAGTTGGTGAAGTACTGCGTGGGGTCGACGGTCGTGAAGCACGCGGACAGCATGCCGTTGGCGTCTTGTAGCCGCCCGCAGTTCTGGGGGCTGGACGCGATCGCTTCCTTGCTGGGGTCCAGGATAATGCCGGATGAGGCTCCCGTATCACTGCTCCCACTGTGGGGGCACATTCACGATACAAAATAATAATATGAACACATAAAGTAGCAGCCGTGCAATGACATGCTCCTGCCACTGCTGGCGTAATGGCTTCAACGACAGGGAGCTCTAAAGAGCCATTCTTGAGGGTATTTGCCCTACTCTTCGGTGCTTCAAGCATCTTGGGAGTAGTGGGAGTACCTACGCCTGACCAAAATGACCACATGCGACCCGCCGATCGCCCATGTAATAATTATTTAAATAATACAAATGTATAAAGCGTCTTTAAACAATCGTTCTCAGGATGCGGAGAACGATTGTAGTGTAACAATGTATCCTGCTTAATGGACATAAGCAGGGGAGTTTAACAAACTTGCCCCATTGTTTCAACTGCAGCACCATGAAATCATACGAGGGATCCGTATTATAGTCCAGTGAGCCAACCATTATACCATGGAAGCATTCCAAATGAAAATATACTGTAAGGGCAATAAATGTGATATGAAGAACTACAGACCTATTAGCTCGTATGTGCCGCACGTAAGTGTTCACAAAGATAATTGGAAAATCAATCACATGTATGTATATTAAACTTATTTAGGATTGTACGTAGCTAACCATGCTAATCCAAGGTGCTTATGTGCAAATTGGATAAAAAAAGGTTCTCTACCAAAAACCACATTCATACCAATAATCAGATTCTGTAAAAGATTAATAAATATCAATTACCACTGTACCTAGCATTGATCTTGGATAAAAAAAAAGAAATGGATTGACGTGCTACAAAAGGATGCGGCGCTGATCGGACCTGCCGACGACTAGTACCAGCAGTGTCAAGATTGGTCTCTGGACGAGGCTCGTGAAGTTCGCTCCTTGGCAGTTGGAGGCAGCCACCCTTCAGCAAGAGCTAAGGGCAGAGTAGTGATACAACAACTAGCGAAGCGCTGGGTGGTAAAAACGCAGCAAGTTGGCACAGTAGGGTGCACAGGTAATGCATCTGCCAGTCATCTCAGTCAGTCAACCGATGACACCTGGGTATGTTCCGTGACTTTGACACTTTACATGGCCTCAAGGTGTATCTAGCCTGGTACAAGAGCTGTGATGGCATTACCACCACTAAGTGGTGAACAATGGTTGTATGAGTGTGTGTGTGTGTTGTGCATATGTGTACATATGAGTGTGTATCTCCATGTTTATGTGAGTGTGTATATGTTCGCGTGTAAGTGTGTGAGTGAATGTATACACGGCACCTCTCTTTGTCCTTCCATTCTGGCAACTCCCAGCTGTTGCCCAAGGTGGCACCGTCAGGAGCCTGGGAGTGATCGGGCATCATGAAGTCGTCCGTCTGATCGCCGTTCCACACGCCGCACACTCCACACGTGGTGTTTCTGTACACGTCGTGGTTCAGCAGAGAGACCACCACCCTGTCCCAGCCTATGGGGGAGGAAACACGGGGACATACAGCTTTCAAATCACATCCTGATACCTTTTAGATTTAAGATTCTGAATTGCAACTTAGGATGTTTATACTACTTTTAAAAATATATTCACGATTAACATAGTGTCATCGTTCAATGCCAAGTGACTATATTATAACCCAAAAAACCTTTATTATGGACATAATATTTTATGGGAAGAATGTGGAAACTATGTTTTCTTCTGGTCAATCTCATCCAAACTGTTTCCAGATCATCCAAAATGAAGATGAATCGGAATATCAGGAACTCCACCTTAATCTAAAGTCATTTAAAGCTACCGAATTTATGGCAGTCTAACTTAATACAAGGAGGAAATGTGATTGACACGTAAATGTGGCACAGGGTGTTAAGTAGGCATCTGAGATAGGTCCCCTCCCCCGGCCCGTTAAAAAGTCACATCAGGGTCAGTGCCAGATTAAGCGAGTGCGGGGCATGTAGCATATGTTATAAAGGGGCCCTAAATAAAAAAAAAACATAAATATTAAAAAACTAATGTTTAACTTGCATAGTAACGTAATTGTATTTTTTTCATTTGCTATACAGGCATATAATACGACAAATCGCTAACCTTAAACACCCAGTCGTTCATAAAAGTTGAAGGCAGTATAGTACTATAGCAATACAACAAGTGCAAAATCACTAAGGGGCCGTCCATAAATGATGTCACGCGATTTTGGAAAATTTTTGACTCCCCCCCCTCCTCTTCGTCACACGGCGTCACAAAAAGTCAGACCCCCCTCAAATATTATGTCACAAAGCTCTGCCCCCCCACCCCAAATAAAACATGCTTCAAATCGCTTTAAACAATTGTCATTGTAGTGCGTATTTAATGTGGCGCTGCACTCTGATGTTGTAGGAGAGAACATTTATTAAAACGTCTAATTAAGTAGAACGTGTTGTCTATATGTATTTAAAGTTGCGCATTTTGATGTGACGTCACATTTCTCACCCCCCCCCCCCTCGTCACAAATGTCTGACCCCCCTCTAGGTGCGTGACGTAATTTATGGACGGCCCCTAAACCGGAATTGATAGCTTGAAAACATTTAGTACGGGGCCCTTGAAAGTGCGGGGCCCGTAGCATATGCTACTTTTGCTACTAGGATAATCCGGCACTGATCAGGGTGCAATAAATCTCGTCCTTAGCGTGAGATGGGCTGGTTAGGACCAAATATTTTACTTGCAAAGGTAATGCACAGATGAGGCTCTGCCCTGCCTGCAAACACGCGCTGTCTGTAACCCCGCCCCTGTGGTGGCGGCGAGAAGCCATTAGTGTCAGAGAGGGAGCGATGGCGGCCGGCGCATGTGCAATGACACGTGGGCCGAGAGCTGAGCGTGGCATTCTGCTGTGTACGCCTACGTGTACATGAGTAACCGACAGGGTACACCAAGTGCAGAAACTATAGCTACGATGTAGAAATCAGTGGGATAAGGCTGCAATCTGTCATCGAGGGAGTTATTTGCGACAGAAGTTAACGGGTGTCTGAACATGCTAAAAGAAAAATGGCGTCCGTAAAGTTACAAAGTATTTAAAAACGTATTACTGATTTAATATGTACATTTCAGGATTCAGACTTCAGAGTAGCATTGCAACAAAGCTTAGATTATGCTCAAGACTCGTTTGTGAGTGGCTATGGCCAACAGTATAGAAAATTGTTTTAAATGCTGTAATTAACGTGGTTACTGATATAAATGTGCCAATAATTCTGCAAATTGTTACAATAAAGACGGTACTTCACAGGGACACAGTAACTGAATGAAATATCTTATGAGTAGCTGTGACCAGACCCATAAACGAGTTCTGAATGGTTTATGGATGAACAGAATGTACTTGGTGTTTATATTCTTAATTTAACGTGGTTGTAGAATTATTTATGGTACTCTTATCTGATTATAATTGTTCCAAGAGTTTAGGTCACTCAGGTGGTCATGTTGAGCTATTGTTAAGAGAGTTAACATAGTGAAGAATGTTAATATTGGTCAATACTGTTAATAATATTGTGTCTTTACCGTACGGTGTGGGTAAATAGGGGACTGTAAAAATCTCCGACCCCCAGGAACAGGTTTGCAGATTTGCTGAGCATTTATGTGAGGTCCTGGGGTAGGGGACATCCCTCAGCCTGGATAACAACATGGGACAAAGTGGAGATGACCCTGCCGAGGTTGCGGTGCCTCAAATATTGGAAGATGTCACCCCCTGTGAGTGGCTGGCTGAGGTGCCATCTGTTGTGGAAGTACTGAAGGCAATCCAGAGTCTGAGACCAGGTAAGACACCGGGCAGAGATGATCTCCCAAGCAAAATGCTGAGGGAAGGTGGCGTTTGTGCACAGACTGACCTACATGACAGCATAACAACAGTCTGGACCACTGGACGGGTTCGATAGGACTGGAAGGATGCCCTGGTTGTCCTCTTTAAGAAGGGGGACCGCACAGACTGTAACAACTACAGGGGCATCTCACTCCTCAGTGTGCCGGGAAAGGTCCTGATTAGGATTATTCAACATCGCCTTGCTAGGCACGCTGAGGAGAGGCTTGCGGAGCCCCAATGCGGTTTCAGGAAAGGGCGGTCGTGCACAGATCCCATATTTTCTGTCCATCTGCTACAGCAGAGGTGTAGGGAATTCCAACAAGACCTACATCTCTGCTTTATTGACCTGGTCAAGGCCTATGATACCATCAGTAGGCCTGGGCTCGGGGTAGTTCGTCATGCTTTCGGAGTCCCTGACCCTCTGCTCACGATCATTAAGGACCTTCATAATGGTGAGCGGGCCCGGGTAAAACTACGTGGCCGGAAGTCGGAGCCATTCCCTGTACACCTTGGGGTGCGACAGGAATGTCCTCTGGCTCCCACATTATTTTACATCTATTTCAACCCGAAAACATCGGAGAGCTGCTGAACACAATTGCGGAAAGCTGCAGAGTGGGACATGATATATCCCCCCAGGTTATGTGGAGAACACACTGTAGGCATGAACTCACCGTTGTATTCGACACTGAAGAAAGCGTCCGTTATGAGACGCATGTAGCCCCCGGAGCTTGTGATTCGGAATCTCTCGCTGGGATCATAGAACGGCAGGTTGATGGCTTCTCCGTCGAGCTATAACACAACCGTGGTGCCACAATATATATCAAATATTAAACGTAAACTATTGAATACCAGCCATTCTCACAGTCACCAAAGAATGAAAGATTCCCGCATCATATCGGTCATGGGTAGGGTTTCTGTCTATGAATTATAGCAAAAATCGTGTCAGTAGCAGTAGTCTGCATACTTTTTTTTTACCAGTGCATTATTACAATTATGGCTGTAGATTAGTTCAAGTGCATGACTTTGTTGTGGATGTAGTTTTTTCTTGCCACCTGACCAGGGATCAGCCAATGAGCTTGGAACATTGTTTCAATGAAGGTGGGGGCCGGAGGGAGAACTATGGTGAGAGTCACGTGGTACAGCAGGCAGCCAATGGTGGGGTGGGGGGTTAAATGAGTGGCCAAAAAGAGGCAGAAAAAAGTCGTTGCTACCAGCTGGATGTGATGTGAGAAGTTTGCGATACACACGGTTGTATAGTACTCGTAGCATTTATAAACCTCAATCTAATCTGATGAGTATTTTAGTATTTCTCCATATAGTCAGGTTTTGTATCAAGGGTCAAACAGTACAGTTAAATCCTGGAGTATAGTAGGGTTCCTCGGTTCCTTGCGTAGTACAGTAATGCACCTCGCAGGAACATTTCCTAAGCATACATTTTTTCTCATCAGATGTGCAAATAAACAGAGGGCTCTCCAGGTGTCTCGTGTTGGTCAGTCCTAGCACCACCAGGAGGTGAGCCCCTTGCTTTCAGACCCACAGCACCGAGACCCAACCTCTGAGCAGGTGCCCAGAACCAATTTAGTGACACTCCTTTTTTCTCATTTCCCCCTTGTCCCTCCTGAGCCAGTAGCTCGGCCAACCTTATATACTGAAACTAGCTTTACTACCCGGCTTCGCCCGGGACTTGGATTCACCACGCCCGGCCGCCTTTGTCTCCCCAGTGGCGATGTTCACACACCACACCAGTTATTCGTTTGAGGCTGAGTCGATCTAGGGGAGGCCCAGGACCGGTTCAAATAATCGTCACCGGTGGTGGCCGTGAGCAGGAATGAAACTCGGGTCGCCGGGTTCGTAGGGCAGCGCACTAACCACTACACTACCGCTCCCCCCACACACACGCGCGCGTCCATAGGTACACACATACACGCGCTTGCTGCAGACACACAACTTTCAGGTTGCGTCGGCACACTCCGTTACGCTTCCACATACGGGTCACATGACAGATGTGACGTCACAGCTCACTTGCCGTCCAAAATATATGCATTATTGCCCCCCAAAAAATATACAAAAGTGTATTTTTATAATTTTTGCATGGTGTATAGTCTGAAAAGTACCCACATGGCAATTTTTTTTTTTTTCCATGTCGGGAAGTACGCTAAACATTTTGAACAGACACACATTCACAAATTTCCCTTTTATATATATAGACGATACGCCTATATCAACCTTGGTAAGGCCCAGGTTCAGTGTACATAAGCACCACTTTTGTTAGCAATGGCCAGGAATCGAACTCTGGGCACAGTGCACTAACCACTTCATTACCAATCCCCGCACTCACGCTCCCGTACGTACCCGGACGGCGCCGTTCTTCAGGAAGGAGATGGTGTAGCCGTAGATCTCGGTGTGCACCTGGCGTGTCCATGATACTCCCATGTGACCCCGGTGCTCGTTCTTGGCGAGCACTCGCCATGCTGTCGGCTGCTGTGCGCCCAGGCAGTTCGATGCCAACACGAAGGTATAGGTGCCCATGAAGTCGAAGAGGCGCCCGTCAAACGAGCTGTAGTGGGGGTCTCCAAAGCCATAGCATTCAGCTGTGGGGGAGCGATACACATGAGTGATTGAAAAGGTTTGATTTTACAGTGTAGCTGTGAGAGCATAGGGTACACATTGCATTGTTTAGTTGCACATCCAGGGTTTTTGATTGTGTGTGCTGTGACTCCACACGAGCACACAACACTCAGCTGTATGTGTGTTGAATGTCTTTCGTACCGTACATAGCCAACCGTGATAATCGGAGGTGCGAAGTATATGGGCGAGAGCGGACCAATTTGCAGGAAGTACAAGGGAAAGGCATTTTTCCTGGTTATGTTTTGCCTGGTAGTGTTTTGCCGAGCAGTGTTTTGATTAATTTCCTGGTTTACCAGGTTTGATAATGGAAACATCCTTTGGTGGTGGTGAGGTAGGATGTCCATTATCGCATGGTAGGTCTGACTTTTATGGCTGAGGCAGCATGCTTCTATTGTGAATGGAGAGGCCTAAACTGGAGGGCTCCAGGGAGCTTCGAATTACATTTCAAAGGTCTTGTTTTATGCACCGTTTATTGTCGGCATCTTTTTAGCACTGTGGATTGACAAGCCGTTGGGTGGCAATAGCATCTGTCGTAACTAAAATTTTCTTGTATTTTTAAGGATATCCGCCTCCCAATTGGCAGATGAGACTCCACACTTGTCGGCTATCATGGGTGATGCTTGATTCCTCTACTGGCTCTGTCCATCATTGCCGTATTGCCTTCTTCATTGACTCCAAGAATGCACTGCCTAATGACGGTTACCAGTGCCTCACTCTCCGGGGACCAGCAGGGATTGTATTCTAATATATATGTAACCCTACAGGATGTGCTTTTCAGCTGCAGTTTTGAGGAGGTTAACGCACTTCTCATAGCTTTCTTGGCCTGTGCTTAGCAACCGTGATAAAATAATATTAAGTTGCTCACCAAAGACCTTCTTGTGCAGCGTGAACACCCAGTCCTTGCGGCTTCGCGCGTTGCTCTTCGTGACGATGGAGCCGTTGACGACCATCATGGCGGCGCCCTCGTCCACAGTGATGTAGAGCGGGACCCCACCGCTGAACACGTAGGGCGGCGTGGTGAAGCGGACCGTTGTGCCGTTGGGCAGCGGCGTGACCGTGGTACCGTCCACGCGGTACACCTCACGGCCGCTGCGCAGCTCCCAGAAGCGGAAGTACTTTGAGATGGTGGGCAAGACAATCTGGGCATGGAGAGAGGGGAGCAAGCAAGGTGTCATCAATGTCAATGAGGTTTTGCATTCAGTGGGAGCTCAAATGCCTCGGCACATCACAGCACTTGCTCTGGTATGAAGTCTTGAGGCAAATGCTCTCCGCACCTGGTCACTGAAGGTGATTGTCCATTCGATGGGAAAGTCATTGGTGGTGATGCTGTCATAGGAGAAAGCAATGGGTCCGCCGGTGCCTAGAGTGGAAATGAGAGAGAACACAATCGGATATCTCTCCTGATGCAGTGGACTTTTCATTTACACATTGTAAGCCTCAGCAGTCGTCTTTGTCATTGAATATCCACCGCGGGCATGTGCAAGCACACATTCGGCCAACGTTGCAATCCCTCTGTCATATCTGGTGTGGAATACCCAGTTCCTACCTCACCATTCTTCATATAATTCAAAGTAAAGCAGTTAGGGTCATTGATGATCCATAATTCATTGAGTCACTCTGCTAATTTACTCAGCAGCAGTCAGTCGCCTCCTACCACAAGTACCATGGTTACTGTTCCCATGAACTTTACTCCTTGATTCCTCCATTCATGTTGAAGACTCGGTCTATCAGACTGACTTTCGTCTCACCTCTACTGGGTGCGGTGCTTCTGCATATGTAGTGACATATGACGTCACTACTGTGTTGGCTCTGTACGGGTACTGTAGGCGGGGTGTCACGGAGGTTGTGTCAGGCCGTGACACTCTGCGTGAACCCGACAGGACACGTGACTAGACAAAGGGGGGCCCCAGCGGGGAGCTTGGTGGTCACGTGGTAAGGGGCCCGGACCTTCCCGAAGGATCAGGAAGGGGGGCGTGGCCTAGGGCGGGGCCAGCCATGCCGCAGCAGTTATAAGCTGGGTGTGAAGAGAGCGGGGCTGTTTAAACCCCGGGATGAAGACGCCATCAGCAGTCCTTAAGTTTACCAGACTGACTTTCGTCTCACTTATACTGAGTGTGGCGCTTCGGCGTGTGTTCAACTACTATACTGCAGGTCACAACAGTTCTCACTGCTTCTTTCCTTGCACCGCTCCATCGTCTCATTTAACCTTGTGCAATGCAATAAATAGATTAATGATGTATTGCGTACACCGTTACCAGCACTATTAGTTGCTGGTGGCTTGGCATTTTGGACCTTTGGGCCTGCGCTTATCAACCATCATAAAAGAAAGACAGGAAGAGGACCAAGTTCACCGGCGCTCCTCCTTATTCTACTTTTGGTTCTCGAGTTAAAACGGGAATGATCAAAAGACATTTTTCGATACGGCAAGTCCTCGCGTAGTGTGTTCAAATGACACGTTTTCATTGGAACGTGGTTCTTCCATTTAGATACAATTTTCTCGCATTGCGACCTTAAAAAAACGGAAGCCACCTCTAAATCCTGCCTTCTGAAGATGGAAAACCGTCGACCAGCCACACCAAGCAGATGACGTTAGTGAGCCTTGTCCATTACCTCCCGTCTAGCGGCACATGTGAGAATGCTTTCCCGTAACTATTTCCATGTATTCGATTATTCAAGTAAGGGACCCAATTATTTTATCCTAATTAAGCTCTTTTTTTAAATAAATGTCCAGTAAGGGCGGGTCAGCAAGTTACAACATCAACAATGAATCGCATAAAGGAATTGATCATTGGTAGAGGAATCGATTAGTTAAACAATCGGTGGGCCCAGCTATAATGATGTGCATGCCGGGCTGAGCGATGTGATTGGCTCACCTTCAACGACGACGTTAACGCAGCGCAGCTCGGTCTCCTGGCTGCTCGCACACAGCACATATGAGTGAGTAACGCGCGTGGGTCAGTAACGCACGCTGGTGAGTAACGTGCGAGTGAGTAATGCGGCCGACACTACCACCTCAAACTTCTCTCCTCCTGCCATGACTTGCAATCCTGCTACAATAGCTCCACTATTAACTACCGCCATCAACTTTGTCTGAGGCGAGGTTATCTTAGGAACTCAGTGTCCAACCTCAGTGCTTAAAATGTCCCAACAGCTGCATAGCTCCAGCCAAAGTCCTAGCCAAGAAACCTGCACCCTCTGCAAATTCAAAGTCCCGCACATTCATGGTGTTAGTGAATACATAGACCAACGAGGAGTCCTACAGGTTAAAGGATTGCAACTCAAACAACAAACAGGCGCTATCCTATTTTGACAAATATCTGTTGCACCTGCATCACATCTCATCTCAACCATTCTAATGACCGGCTGCCTTCTAGCGAAGGGAACCCCCCAGTGGCAGTTGTCCCTTTGTGGCACGAGGTGCACGCAGCACCTCTCTGAAAATGGGCATTAGTCTGCAAGTAGGGGACGATGTTCCTCAGTCTTTTTTTATTCCCAATTAAATAATTTGTGAATAATTAATCAGCTTTTGCCAGTGAGAGCAGTACTCTTGACCTATCCATGAAGGATTTTTGGGTTAGATCACATACATATAAATATGTCGTTAAACCCGCATTTACATCTATGCTATCTAACCCAAAAAAACCTTTATTATGGATAATATTGGTCGCGAAAACCTACATGTTAAACTGACTCTTGGCCTGTTTTTTTTATAATGTCACGGGACCTATATCATTCATTGTGAAGCAGACGGCAACGTAACATTGATTAATACACCTGCAGTATTAACTCTCGTCTATTACACCTTCAATTGTGGTGTTTGCTACTGGTTACTAGGCACATGGCGCTACTGACGCGTTGCTGTCGGAGGCGTAGAAGCAGATCTGGTGGCTCTGCACGTCATCCCGTCCTGGGATCCAGCTCAGCATCGTGTGGAAGAGCTTCGGGTCTCCGGCGTCGGCCTCGACGGCGCTCTTCTGCACCCCAACGGGCGCGATGGTCCCCAGCCGCACGATCGTTACGCTGCGTGGCACACGGACGCACACAGACACCACACGCGGCATGCGCACACACACACATGGACACACACGACACACACACATGGACACACGCGGCACACATACAGCAGGTTAAGGTCAAGAGGTCGAGGTTAAGAGATTATTTTCAGGGCTGAAATTATCTCTGTATTTTCTGGAACATTGCTTAGGCTTCTTTGGGATTATTGACGTAAGGAAGTGCCACGAGAGTACACGGTGCACCTATCCATTATAATCCTATGTTTTTGTATCCTATGCTGTCCATACGGACGTCTGGTCAAAATAAGGGGAGATGGATGTACCGTGCTAAATGAGTTCACAGAACAGCAATCCGGACTGTTCTGGCTTAAATTAGTATTGCTTTCTTCCTCATACCAAATTTCTAAGCTGCTGCACAGTCCCTGGAGCCAGTTAAGTCATTAAATGGTGACGGGGAGAAGCGGTCGCACCCAATCTCCACGGTAAAATTATGTTTTGAGAAAATATTTCACAGCGTTAAGGTAATCACTGCACTATTTACAGGTATTTTCTGTGGAGATCTCCCACAGATGATGGCACACGGCTTGTGAGCTCATCCTTGTTGCACTCCCAGGACCTTCCGAACGGGCAGCCTTGAGGTCCACGGTGTGCACATTTTCAAGTTGAGGTTTGCATCCATGAGACGGGGATGTTATGGGACTCGGCAAGTCGCACTCACCCTGGGGCCGCATCGCCGGGCAGGGCGATGTCGACTTTGAGCTCGAACAGGAGCCCCTGCGTCGTATGGAACGTTTCACCGTCGCGAGGCGTCGCTCCCGCGAAATACGGACTCGCGCACGAACTTGCCGTCTCCACTGTCACGGTCAAAACAACGACGACCGCAAACATTTGGATGTGGTTGTGTTGTGCGGCTGTCCGGTCTGTTATCGGGTTGTGCCGCATGTTATTCGGCATGATGTATATTTGACACGTAGTACTAGTCGTAGGCTTTTATCCTTAACAGAAGTTTTTTTTGGGTTGGATCGCGTAAGTATAAATTTGTCGTTAAACCTGCCACCACCGGACACAGCCAATTAGTAAGATTTGTCACGTTAACAAAACATGCCAGTTAGTTACTACTTCAGCACATGTTGGAGATTAAACCCACAACATTTACAATTCAAGTACAACGTTTCATCGGTGATTACAACCAGCGTCATGAGGCGGTCGCCATAATTGTGAAGAAGTCTCCCTGTTTGGGTCTTAAATAGATTGAGCCCATCAGGTGCGAAGACCAGAGGAGGGGTTAGTCACATAAGGTACAATGGATCATGTTAATCTGAGAATATGCAGCACCTATTATTTCGTATGTTGAAGTATGTATGTTGATTAACTGTTAATAACCCAACCACTAATAGATACTGCGTATTCTGCATGCTATTTATGGTTAATACACCCACAGTATTAACCAGGGTGGCCTCTGGACTCGTGCTGTGATCCTCTGCAACAGGTGAAAAACGTGTTACCACTTGACCATGTCACCGCCCTGTGTATAGTTACATAAGCGATGGATTTCGGATTTCAAACTTCCGAGTTTCGCATATTTATTTACATTATGTAAAAATATTGACCTGTCTTCGTGCTACTGATATCACCCGATGTGCAGTGTTACCACTGGGTGGGGAAATCACGGAAGTGTAAGGGCGATGCCACGCCGCCGAGTGTGACTTCGCGCGCTTAATGGGCATGCTGCGACTCTCACTCTCCAAGAGGACCTGCAGCGGGATACTGGAGAGCGGGCTGCTGGGGGAGTATGAGGCGGAGCCCATGGTGATGCTGTTGCGTGGGAAGTCCTCGATCATCAGCGCCAGGGCCCAGAGGCCGGAGGCGGTCACGGGCACTGTGAATGTGATGCTGCACGCGTCCTGCCACACGCAGCAGCAACAAGCACGATGTGAAGCGCATTCACTTGCTTGCGAAGGCAGTTGAGCAGACATCCCCTAATATAAGACCACAGAGCTTGGGAAAGTGTAACGATTGTATTTACCTTCCGGTCTGCCTCTGCTTTCCTGCGCCTCTGAATCTCTTTCGTTTAGAAGAGTGAATGAAAACTCTTATTAAAAAATATTAATTTATAGCCAAATTAAGGGGAAAAAACATGTAATGATGTGTTTTATACAATCCTTGGTCACCGGGCTGAGAATAAACTCTCCAAACTCGTTTAGTTATGGATGGTTGAAACCCGCATTCAAACCCAGGTTTTCTTTCTGTCATTTCCCCCAAAAATTGTATCCCAAATTTTGCTCAAGCTGTCAGGTCATGAGACGAACAATCCATTTGGATCGCTCGCACAGAGAACATTGCGGCACTTCCATCTTGGAGACCGGCCCACAGTGACGAAGAGAGGAGAGGAAAGGGCGGCAGATAGAGAAGTGCAAGGAGTGGGAGGGAGGTGGAAGGGTCGACCAAATGAGTTCAACCTCAGAGGAGAAACGGTGCGAGAAGACCAGAGTGGAAGGGGGATTGGGAGGAGAGGAAAATGGTAGAAGCACTTGAAAGCCCGTTGAATCATATTAGGTCTGTGGGTATTAACGTGAGTCTATGAGTCTCTGGAGTCCATGAATTGCAAACACTCTTGTGGATCTCTGTGTAAGTCACTGGTCACCAGGCTGAGACCATTGACTCCACTACACTTTAGAACTTGGTCAAAATCATGCGTGACTGAAACCCAACAACGCGGCGTTGACACATTAGTGCTCTGATCTCAAAGCCACTCGGCCACCTACTGTCATGTGTACCTGATTTTCAGTACAGATGAACCGTGCCACTGACTTTACACACAATGAACTAATCGAGACACAGATGACACATTGGTGACACTGTGTCCTCAGTGTACTGACTGAAGTCACGTAAACGAATGCGTCATTAGCCCCGCCCCTTGGCCTGCTTGACTCTGAGCCAGATTCAGACATCTTGTGAGGCCAGCGTATCACAATTTGGTTCTGGCTCAACTCTGCAAGTAGCCAGTGGAAACACCACCCGTACCGTACGGGGGACCCACGCTGGCACGGCTCGGATGTGCCAGTGCAAATGGGGAGTAATGGATGTGAGAGAACGCACCCCATCAAAGGTCCCGAAGGGAGCGACTCCGCAGATACTTCCACACTCGTCGGAGGTGTTCATGGTGGCGTAGCGACACTTCACCACGTCGCCATCAGCGTCCAACACCGGGATGTTCCACACCTTGGTGCACCCCACTTTGAGCCTTGCGGACATTTTGTGACAACCACCGATATATTTTTCTTTTATTTTCGACATCCTCACATCATACATTGCAACATCCTGACGTTTTGGACGAATTACAAGGAGCATTGACGGTATCAGGCAAGCACACCGGGTAGGCACACCAGGTCGGGGGAGGGGAGGAAGGGATTTTCTTTTGGGGGGGAGCGGGTGAAGGGGCGATTGACCAGGTCATTGCCGTTCTGGGCTCTGGTATTTAATGCTGTTCTAAGGTTTAAGAATGGGCCCCATGTACGTGTGTATTCTAATTTATTGTCTCTGAGCTTATAGCTTACATTCTCCAGTGCTGAGATTGGGCCGAATGAATTCAGCTATTGAGTATGGGAGGGGGGTACACCCTCCGATATTTACAGGTCCCATGCACGCTTCAGCTTAAATCGCCTTATAGCACATCTCGTCCATTCCAATGCCCTGCATTATAGTCAAGGGAACCTAGACTTGAAGCTTTCGTGACTGCAAGGAATCATATTCTTAGGTGTTTTCGGTAAAGTCACGTAGGTAAAACATCCAAATTAATTTTGATGTTTTACCTACGTGACTTTACCGAAAACACCTAAGAATATCAAGGGAACCTCACCCCCCCCCCCCCCCCCCCCCACGTGGCAGCTGTCCCAGTGCGGCACAAGGTGTACGCAGCACCGGCCTATAAATGGATATTTGTCTGGCAGTAGGGGGGAAATGTTTCCTGCTCTATCCTACTCAGAGGAGAGCTCCCAGTAGAAGCTGTCTCTGTGCAGCACATCAGCCTTTAAGTCGGCATTGGTCTACCGCAAGGTGGAGCTATTGCTGTATACATTTAACCCCAATTAGCTTGTTTGCTTTCAAAAAAAGTTTTGGACCGTGACAAATAAGGTCACAGGGGACCTTAAACATCCACTACAAAGCTTTCATAAGTGGCATATTTAGGGTTCGCCAAGAGTATTAACCGGGGCAGCTGCTGGGCTTGAACCGTTAAGCTCTGCAACAAAAGCATTACGGCTTGGCCATGTCCCTTTATAATTCTTCCACAGCAGTGCACTCAATATAATATGGGGCACCGCGGTGGCTAGGAGATGTTAACTGCCTTGACTGGTATGCAGGAAGTCGTGGGTGCAATCCAGACCCTCAAGTCTGCTGTATATTCGGAGTTTGTATGTCTCTCCGTGGTCGCGTGGATTTTTCTCCGTGTCCTCCCGGTTTGCCCCTCCACATTTAGAAATATGCATTTAGAGTATATGCTATGAATTTCCACATGATGATAAGCCACTAAGTTGGGCTATCAGAGCTACATAGCTCAGTGGGCCTTACCTGGTAAAATAAAAAATAGTTTAGATCATAGTATTAGTTTATAATATAAAGCCTGTGACAGTCTTCTAAATCGCTTGGCCTTGCTTCTTACTTGATGAGCGGCTTCGAGGTGGTCATGGGGGAGATGTTGGGGCTGCTGGTGTCACTCCGGGTACCCGGGTTGATTACGGCGATCATGGACCACGAGCTGCCTCCAGAGATGTGGGTGCCTTGAGAAGTGGCGATGTTCACAGGCACCCAGCAACAGCTCGTGAAGCTGTAGACGGACACGTGTGCCACAACCATCAGTGGCAGGAATATAATATTGTAGTCATTACCCTAAATAGTCGATTTCTTCAATATTGCTATCATTCTTGATTTGAAGCTTTCGTGACTGCAGAAATCCATCCTCTTTGGTTCATTCGGTAAAGTCACGTAGGTAGAAAAAATAATCGATCACAATGTTTTGATCGCAACACAAGCAATCGTCATCAGGTGGGACAACTACAGCAAGAAAAAAACTGCTGAAGTAGGCGAGAGATCTGCCGTGGCACGAGGTTATATAGGCCTTGGCAGTAGGGGGGGAGAGAGAAGGGGGGGGGAAGGAGGCGGGGCAGAAAGTGGACCCCGCCTCCTCCCCCCCTTCTCTCTCCCCCCCCTACTGCCGAGGCCTCTATAACCTCGTGCCATGGCAGATCTCTCGCCTACTTCAGCAGTTTTTTTCTTGCTGTGGTTGTCCCACCTGATGATGATTGCTTGTGTTGCGATCCAAACGTCGTGATCTATTATTTGTTATACCTACATGACTTTACCGAAAGAACCAAAGAGTATTGCTATCATTGTTAACATCGCATCATTGGTATGAGTTTCGACTATCAGGGCCGTAGATAAATTTGTCAAGGCGCCATCTCTTAAGCCACCAGTCGGTACTGCCCGACTTGATCGAAAATATTTGGCCACCAATTCTTCCGACACCCCTCCGAGGACCCCCCCTATCCTGCCCCCTCCCTCCCCCGCTATGGGACTGGCAGCTACCGCTGCTACTTGCTCCTCACCTGATGACGCTCTGCTGGGTGGTGGGGATTGCCAAGTCGAAATTAGCAGTGCCCACCATCCAGTCCGAGTAGATGTTCTGCTCGATGCACGTGATGGCCATGGATTTGGTGTCGCTGCAGCCTTGGATGCATGTCCATTGGTCTCCCGCCCAATAGAGCGTCCCATTCACAATGTCTTCATCGGTGCAGTACCTCCCTTGAGCGGATGCCACTGACGTGCGGCGCCAAGCCACCATGTAGCTGAATTTCATCTGCAAAGAGTCAAAAGTGGGGAGGAAGGGGGGGTCGGCATTCGGTAACCTTTAAGTGTGCCACATTTCTGGGAGGCTCGACGTTCACGGTTTCTCCATCTCTTGTGCAGCACATTTTGGATATTTCAATGACAGAGCCGATGAGTTTCTTCACTGTGCGCAAATACTGCGAAGAGGTAGTGGATGAGACCAACGGGCCTCGTGAGTAGATCATGAAGCAACCATGCATCTGGGCAACCGCAAGACATAGGGTAGGGTGTTGGTTGTCCTGACGTACCACCCTTCAACCTGGCCATCAGAAAGGTCATCCTGAACAACTATAAGATCGTAAGGAGCGACAGGTCCTGGCAGTATTGTTAAGGAACCACATCTATGGGGCATTCTGCAGAAACGCAAACCTCTGCAATCTGCTCGTACAAATCTGCATGCGAAACACGAGCAATAATAGCATATCGGGCACTTTCCCATGCCATCGGAGAAGATGCGACACGTGTGTCTTCACATCAACCGATACACGGATTAAACACCAAGAGCACCATTTGGGTTAGGCCATAGGTTTGCGTGCACCTCCACCCATATGGTGTATTGGATCGCGTGCACACGCAATGAACCCCACTACGTTGGAGAAGTGACGACATCACATCTATCCCTCTATTTAAGAACGAAACAAGAGGATTCCTCCACAAATTTGGCTGTCGCCTGATGAAGCTAGTTGTAATTACTGGCGAAACGTTGTACTCAGATTGTAAATGTGGATTTACTCTCACAACACACCATGTGCTGTACTAGTAACGAATTGGAATGTTCTGTTTACATCACAAACCTTACTAATTGCCTGTGTTAGGTGGTGGCGGGTTCAAATACATTTATATTTACGCGATCTCACCAAAAAAAACGCTATTATGCAGACACAATAGTTTACAAAAAAGAAATACCTTGTTAGATTTTCATCATGCACTTATTTTTCTAATCCGGATGGGGTTTATTCATTATTTACAGATTTATATACATAGGACAGGGCTTAATTTTATCTGCAACTGGTCTTAATGCTGAGCCCGGAACTATACAGGCAGACTTCGATTAACATTCAAGATGCATTCCTGGAGAAGTGAGTGCTAATTGAATAGGCGCTAAAAGAGGGTCATTATACCATTGTGAATATGGGGGTGCGTTCGCGACAAGGTTATTTCGTAATTTATTATAACTACATATCGAAGGTTGTAGATTTCTTTGGAATCAGCCTATTCCCGTTTAATCGATACCACAAACGCTCACTAGATATCAATTCTCGCTAGTCCTGTATGCGGGTTGATGCCACACACTTCATGGTCATCCCCCCCCCCCCTCCAAATACAAAAGTCTATTTGTATATTTTTCCATTGTGTACAGTATGGGAGCTACCCACATGCCAAATCTCAAGTTTGTAGCATGTTGAGAAGTATGCTAAACATTTCGAAGAGACACACATATCCACAACTTTCACTTTTATATATATAGAGAAGTGTGATGCGACAAGTGATGCATATTCATGTGATGTGTGCTCATGCATATTCATGTACATGGCGGATAAGGACAAGCACTGGGGCGTGAGGGGGCATCACTTCCTGCATGGACCAAGAGCAATGGCGTCACTTAAGCTTTTTGTGTGTAAACTAAATACCTGTCAACCCCTTATCAGTGCCGACCTTATTACAAACCAATTCAGACCTTATTGGTTACATCATGCCTCTAATAAATCTCAAGGTTCATCTATAAAGTCCCATCACAAGGGAGAAATACAAAGACATTTTTTCCCCGTATTGAAACGGCCGTACGGCGTATGTACCTGAAAACTATATTTCCTTGTGCAAGAATACGGATAAACCGTATAGGTTGACAGGTATGAAAGAAAGGAAGGACCGTACTCAGAACCCCTTTATTAGAGTCTGTAAAGTTACCAGACAGACTCAATGTGTTTTACGTTACACAAGGCATAGCGTCACAGGGGTGGCTGAGAATCTTGCGTCGCTCTCATTGGATGACTGAATGATGGGGGCGGGGTACGTTTCCTCGGGGTGGGCTTTCTGCGTGTTCTCACTCGCTCTCACGAATCGGCGTTCTCTGGGGTCACGCTAAGCGAGGTCTGCCTGTATTCCATGATACATTAAGCCATGTAGCAGGTAATGAGCAGTGATTGAACATGTTCCTCTTTAGGCACATTGAGGTTCAGGTATTGCACAATTTGTAGTAGGCTGTGCTGTAATTGTCGCATAAGGGCATGGCCCTGAAACCACAAACCCGTGCCAGCACAACCGCTCCAGCAAGTCTGGAGCGGTTGTTGTTTTCATGTAAAGAGTTAATGTCGAAAGTGTGACTTTCACCCTGGCGTTAGTGTATGCAAACACACGAGTGGCTTCACGTGAGTCTGTGGTTTGGGGTGTTACCACAAAACAGAAGTGGCTATCTTTGCAGTGAATTGTGAAGTGAAAAAGGTAAAGGTGCAGCCCTGCAATTGCTTGGTCAAGCCGCTGCTGGCGAAAGGGTCTCCACTGGAGGGAGCTCTAGAGAGCCCATTTGGACTGTAAATATTTGCCCTACATTTCCCCAAGCTATCTATACATCTTTGAAGAGTTGGGAGTACCCACATTTTACCCGACTATACACAAGCTACCTATCAACTGTGGTGTACCCATATATACAACTGAGTGTACAGAGGTGGGGGAGGGGAATTTAAAGGCCTGGTCTATTGTTTCAATATCCATGCCTGGAGATCAAACCGATGGTCACTGGCATGCAAGTCCAGTGTGCTCACCATTGCACCATGGCAGCGGGAAGTTGTGAATATTGTTTATAATTACTGTGTTAATCTGTCTCCTCTGAATGTCATGACGATGTTTATCTTTTGCCCTGCACACTATAATATACATTTGAGTAAACCAATAAAATTAGTTGGTCCGTGGCTGTATCCGTTGTACTGAAGGTATTGCTGCTGCCTGTTGCACGTATTTGAATCAACGCATTCATTAATTTAAATCAGCAGGGAAGTTCAACCTATGTCGGACTCACCCCTTCCTCTTTAGGATGCAACCTTTCCTTTTTAGGATCCACCATTCCTTTTTAGAACCCACCGCTTCCTCTTTAGGGGCATATTCATGTGAGGTGTGCTAATGCATATTCATGTACATGGCGTATACGTGATTGAACATGTTCCTCTTTAGGCACGTTGAGGTTCAGGTATCGCACAATTTGTAGTAGGCTGTGCTGTAATTGTTGCATAAGGTCATGCCCTTGAAACCACAAACCCGTGCTATCGCCAGCAAGTCTGGAGCGGTTGTGGTTTTCATGTAAAGAGTTAATGTCGAAAGTGTGACTTTCACCCTGGCGTTAGTGTATGCAAACACACGAGTGGCTTCACGTGAGTCTGTGGTTTGGGGTGTTACCACAAAACAGAAGTGGCTATCTTTGCAGTGAATTGTGAAGTGAGAAAGGTAAAGGTGCAGCCCTGCAATTGCTTGGTCAAGCCGCTGCTGGCGAAAGGGTCTCCACTGGAGGGAGCTCTAGAGAGCCCATTTGCACTGTAAATATTTGCCCTACATTTCCCCACAAGCTATCCATACATCTGTAGAGGTGTTACGGATGGCAAACAAACACACTGGGCGTGGTTATGCCCGTACGCAAGGAGATGCTTACATCCACGTTCGCACCGTTTAGCCTGGGGGGCTAACACGGAGCTGGGATCCCCCACGGCCCCACCCCTCAGAGGGGGAATTGCTATATAAGGCGGTGAGCCGAAAGGCTCGGGGTTAAGTGTTCAGCTTAAACCAGTGAAGCAAGAAGACCAGCTAGATATGCCCTGGGACTCCCCTGGATCGCTGTCCTTCTCAGGACCGACCAGGGCAAGCCAATGGCGTGGCCCCTAGAGTCCAGAGCCGATGTTCTTCTAAGAGCCGGTCTGATGACTCAGGGTGCCGTGATCCCAGCTTAACCAGAGCTGGGTCAGCTAGCCTCCCCTCGCCCTGTAGTGGAGGACCTGGGAGTAGGCTAGCCGGGGGAGAGATAGAGGGATCTCCCTGTTAGACGGGTGAAGGGGCCGATACCCCTTCGAGAGTCGTATATCTCGGCCTGTAATACAACTGTGTTAGTAAATAAGTGTGCCTCCGTCTACGTCGTCCAAGTCTCCTTGAACCATACTACACATCTTTGAAGAGTTGGGAGTACCCACATTTTACCCGACTATACACAAGCTACCCATCAACTGTGGTGTAACCATATATACAACTGAGTGTACAGAGGTGGGGGAGGGGAATTTAAAAACCTGGTCTATTGTTTCAATATCCATGCCTGGAGATCAAACCGATGGTCACTGGTATACAAGTCCAGTGTGCTCACCATTGCACCATGGCAGCGGGAAGTTGTGAATATTGTTTATAATTACTGTGTTAATCTGTCTCCTCTGAATTAAATGTTTATCTTTGCCCTGCACAGTATGATAATAAACATATTTGAATAAACCAATAGAATTAGTTGGTCCGTGGCTGTATCCGTTGTACTATAGGTATTGCTGCTTCCTGTATTTGATTCAACGCATTCATTATATTAAATCAGCAGGGAAGTTCAATTATGTTGGGCTCACCCTTTCCTCTTTAGGATGCAACCTTTCCTCTTTAGGATCCACCCTTCCTTTTTAGAACCCACTGCTTCCTCTTTAGGGGCCGTCCATAAATGACGTCACGCGATTTTGGACGATTTTTTACCCCCCTCAAATATGACGTCACAGCTCTGCCCCCCCCCAAATAAAACATGCTTCAAATCGCTTTAAACTATTGTCATAGTGCGTATTTAATGTGGCCCTGCACTCTAATGTTGTAGGAGAAAACATTTATACAGGTAGGAGCAATATGTTCCACACTGTCCACCAGGGATTTTTTGTCTGTCTGACTGTCGTGCTTAAATAATATAAACAGCTCTTTGATTGGTGGAGACCTACTGCCGGGTACGGAAAGAGGAGGTGCCTGAGGGAGGAGGGTCAGGGGAGGGGCCCAAGGAAGGGGGGAGTCAGGAGAGGGGCCTGAGGGGGGGGGGAGTCAGAGGGAGGGGGGTCAGGGGAGGGGCCTAAGGATATGGGGGGGTCAGGGGAGGGGCCTAAAGGAAGGGGGGTCAGGGGAGGGGCCTAGGGATATGGGGGGGTGGCCAGGGGAGGAGCCTAAGGGAGAAGGGTCAGCGGAGGTGCCTAAGGGAGGAGGGGTCAGGGGAGGGGCCTATGGGAGAGGGGGTAAGGGGAGGGGCCTAAGCAAGGGGGAGGGGCCGATAGGAACAACAGTTCCACACTGCCCACCAGGGATTATACAGGTAGGAACAATATGTTCCACACTGCCCACCAGGGATTGTTTGTCTGTCTGTCGTGCATGGCCCCGCCCCACCGGAGCCCTCCCAATGGTTCGGGGGCGCCGATCAATGGGAGCGGTGGGTTGGGGTTGGTAGAGGGGTGGGTTAGTGGTGGGGGGGAGCACCGCCGCGACTCGGGCCAATGAGGAGACGGGCGATGTTTCATTCATAAAATGGAAACTGGGGGAGGGTGGCTCCATTCATAAAATGGAAGCCTTAAAAATAAAAAAACTGATCTTTTTGCCTCGTGTTTCTTTCAACATTCCCAGCCTTAAGGTGATTCAGTTGGGGGTGGGAGGGGTGGGGCTGGGTGGAGAGGGGAGGGTGGGGAGGGGCTGGGTGGGGCTGGGTGGGGCTGGGTGGGGAGGGGAGGGTGGGGAAGGTGGGGAGGGGCTGGGTGGGGAGGGTGGGGAGAGGCTGGGTGCTGAGGGTGGGGCTGGGTGGGGGGTGGGGCTAGTCACCCCGTGGTGCCCTTATAAAACTCAACGTTTAACCTACACACTACACTATACACGACACACTACACTTATACAGGTAGGAACAACAGCTTTCACACTGCCCATCAGGGATTATTTGTCTGTCGTGCATATGGGGAGGGGAGGGTGAGGGGTGAGGCTGGGTGGAGAGAGGAGGGTGGGGAGGGGCTGGGTGGGGAGAGGAGGGTGGGGAGGGGTTGGGTGGGGAGGGTGGGGGGTGAGAGGGGTGGGGCTGGGTGGGGGGTGGGGCTGGTCACCCCGTGGTGCCCTTATAAAACTCAACGTTTAACTTACACACTACAGTGACTACACTATACACGACACGATACATTACACTTATACAGGTTGGAACAACAGCTTTCACACTGCCCATCAGGGATTATTTGTCTGTCTGTCGTGCACGAATGCGCTGTCCAACCAAGTTCCTACCTGCCCACTCCGAAGGAACGTGTTTTTAGATGGCAAATAGAAAGAGGAGAGACTTTACACAGGAAAATGAGTACGAGACACGGATTCCACCAGAGGCGATGTAGTCCATTTGGCCAGAGCAGAAATTTATTTCCTGCCTACGGTAGCACAACCTTTAATCATTCCAATGCATTTTAACCGGCAAATGTGGATGTTTCGATAACCCCCACTCATTTCAAGCGGTTATCACATACCTTGCTGTTAGTGGCCTCCTACATAAATTGTAACCACGTAACGTTATGCCACCTCAGCGTGGTCGTATGTATGTAAATGGATTTGCGTAAGTGGACCCGTCAGCCCGAATGGCCACAGAGCCACGTGACAAGCCCCCTCCTCCGTATGCATTAATTTAATCTTGTGCATCGTTGCAGCTCTAGCTGCGTTAGAGTCACGTGTGAAAAAGCACTGGCGGTAGCGACAAGTAGTGAAATGTTAGCTCTCGACTTGTGGACTACAAAGAAGTACTTCGCCAAATAGCACGATTATTCATAGCCCATTGCCTATCCACTGCTAGATGAAGGCCTCCCCACCCCGTTGCAATGTCACACTCATTGCACTCACACACCAAAGCGTTCGCCACGAATGATTCGCAACACCTCGCTGATCTTGTCAAAGGGGCGTTAAGGGGTCGTCCATAAATTACGTCACGCGATTTTTGACGATTTTTGACCCCCCCCCCCTCGTCACACGGCGTCACAAATGTCTGACCCCCCCCCCCCTAGGTGCGTGACGTCATTTATGGACGGCCCCTTACGTCGCGTGAAGTGTGAATGTGTCTACGTAATTAGACCGCCTTTGCCAGTACCAAAATATAATAGGGGTTTTCCCTTTTTTCTGGCAACAAAACTGAAACCCTTTTACAAGGAATCGTGTCTGTCTGCATTAACCACAAAACTTGTGGTCAAAATGCAAAAAACACTCTGAAAATGCACATATTATCAGAGTGTGTTTTTGTTTGCATTTTGACCACAAGTATTATAGTTAATGCACACATGATTCCTTGTAAAAAGGTTTCAGTTTTGTTGCCAGAAAAAAGGGGGAAACCCTATTATTAGATCTGGTCATCTGTGTTTACGGTTCAACAAAGAACATAGGAGGCGTTGTTAAACGCGTAAGTAAGAAGGAATGTGTGTATATTTGCCGAACCAAATAGTTCCGCGTTTCGCGAGTCGGATGGTTTTAAAAATAATAAGTAATATTAAAAATAAACTTGTTTTAAAAACACGCTTTAATGAGCGTACCCTACTAGTAATGGAAGAACTCCACGATTCCAGGAAGTGGCCCCGAAGCTTGCCATAACGTAAGGTGCCGTGGTGATTTACAGCCAACATCAGTTGAGCGTGGACAATTAGACCCAAGCCGAAACATAACATATAAAAAATGTTTAAAAAAATTGAATATAGTATTGTCATCAGTATGACATAAGCATACCAAGTTTTCAGTCGATACCACATTGGGAAGTGGGTTAAAATTGAGTTACAAGATTTGAGGATACGACAACAACAACAGACAGAGTGAGTTAAATAAAAGCGTGTAAAAATAATAAAAATCTTGCAGAAGCTCGTTCGTAAGTGTGGATGTTAGTAAGTCGGGGAGGGTCGTAAGTTGGGGACTGCCTGCACTTCACCACGTTGCTCTGTGTGGATTGATAAAGGGCAGAACCAGTTCAGATATCATAACCCGCCACTGATGTTAGGCGTGGCAGTGAATCGAACTAGGGTCATCAGGCACGCAGGGGGCACTAATCACTGCGCTGCCACTCCACTATTGATCATGGGAGGAGAGCGGTGGAATATGGATGCCTTCATCCAGCAGTAGATTGACCATGTATTGATCTAGCAGATTGATCCCCCGTATAACCTTAAATACTGTTGGAGCAAGTGCTGTTAGCGAGCACCTATAAAGGCCGGCACGGCACACGAGGGGGTGGGTGGCCAGCATCACGCCCGACCGCCTTTGTACTCATTTGAGGCTGAGTTGACCGAGGGGAGGCCCAGGACCGGTTCAGATAATCGTCACCGGTGTTGGCCGGGAATCGAACCCGGGTTGTCAGGTTCGTAGCGCAGCGCGCTAACTGCTACACACGCAAACACCCACAGGCACATATCCACACGCACACCCGCACACCCGCACACCCACAGGCACACACATACACGCACACACCCACACGCACACACACACCCACAGGCACACACGCACACACACAAACACCCACACGTACCCACACACATACACACCCACGCACACATACACCCACACGCACACACACCCACACACACACACATACACACCCCCACATCCACACCCACACACACACCACCACACACACCTGGTTGCCGTCTTGAGGAATCCAGGAGATGGTTCCCCCGCGGAAATGGGAGCCACTCGTCGTGCCGAGGGCCAGGACAAGTACAACCAGAGCCAGACACAGCCTCATGGTGGACTCCTGCAAGGGGGCGGTGTGGACAATCAACACGGGGTGGACAATCAACATGGGGTGGACAATTAAAACGGGGTGGACAATCAACACGGGTAGACAACCACCACAAGGTGGACAATCACGGGGTAGACAGTGGACGTGGACATGGAGTGGACAATCAACACGTTGGTGGACAATCAACACGGGGTGGACAATCAACAATATGAGATGTGAAGTTGAGATGAGAATCGAGCCAGATGCTAAGGTATTCGAATGAGGAAACACTTTCAGTTGTGGCAGACTTGGTGCTCATAAAAGTAACGCGTCGATTTACGTTTATATATGTGTATGTATATATGCTGTATGCATGTGCATAACGGGCATACATACGTGTACATATAACTTTATGTGTATTATATTTGCATGTGTGTATGTATTGGTATCTGAGTATGTGTATATATGCGTACTATGTGTCTATGTTTTTTTTTACCAGGTAAGGCCCAACTGAACTCTATAGCTTTTTTTCGGAAGCGACCTGGCCACAGGCGATAGCTCAACGAAGTGGCTTATCATCATGTGGAAATGTATAGCAGCTAAATACTTTGAAGGCACGTTGATTCTAAATGAGGAAAACATGCAAACTCCAGATATACAGCAGGCATAAAGGTCGGGATGAAACTCATGACCCCCTGTACACCAGGCGAGGTAGTTAACATTTCCAGCCACCTTGCTGGTGATGAGAGAGATACGCAAACTCCAAATATGCAGCAGGCTTCAGGGTCGGGATCGAACCCACGACCTCCTACATACCAGGCGAAGTACTTAACATCTCGCCACCATAGCGTGTATGCATGGGTGTGCGTGTATAACTGGCTGTGCATATAACTTAATATGTGTATATAAAGAATAGCCAAAACCTTCTTGGTTATTTCGGTAAAGTCACGTAGAAAGAGAATAATAAAATAATCAAAATAAAACATTATAAAATACGTCTCAGCCGTCCTCAGGTGACCTCAGGTGACCTGAGGACGGCTGCTTGCGTTGTGGCCGAAACGTCGTGAGAATTGTATTTTATTATGTTTTATTTTTATTATTTTATTACTTCCTTTCTACGTGACTTTACCGAAAGAACCAAGAAGATGAATCCCTGCAGTCACGAAAGCTTTAAATCGAAAAATAGCCAAAACGTCAGGACACAGGGTTATGACTGCAGGAAGTCATATTCTTTGGGTCTTTCGGTAAAGTCACGTAGATAGAAACAATAATAACACCTATTGCAGGGTCATTGCATTGACTTTCACACATCTTAACCTGACTTACATAACGATAATGAATGCACGCATGCATGCTTTCTCTTTTGACGTGAACGTTCGGACTTTTTAAAGCTAACACGTGTAATCTTGGAACATCGTCGATTCTGTTTATTCCCCATTCAGGATGCTTCGTCCAATTTTGTAACCGATAGACTTGAAATTACACCCCCCCCCCCCCCCCACAGAAAGAAGTATAGAAAATTATAATAGATAAAATATTCACTTAAAGAGTAAACAAATCGAATGTTTCAATACCAGTGTTTAAGTGAAATACGCCTATTTGTCCTGACTTTTGGACTACCATGTATAATAACAATAACCCTATGCGTCCTTAAATTTGGACCACCATGTATAACGATGCGTGCGATACCAACCTTATACATATTGAGAGTTGGGTCGACCACGTGCCACCCTCGCCTCCCTCTCCTCAACTCAATCCCGTGCCTCATATTTATACCAAGAGGCTCAGCACCCTCATCGACATCATCGTTGCAGCCGCGTGTGGGTGGCAAGGTCAATCGTTCAACGTTTACAGCACCATGTCTTTGCACTTACAATAAATCAATAAATGTGAATGAGCGATAGCTTAGAATTTTTTGAGGAAACAAATAAAATGTGATTATGTGTGTGGGGGGGGGGGGGTGTCAAGGGAAGTGTGTTGAAAAATTAAATAATTCACCTTGTTTGAAGAGCAACACGTCTTTCCCTGAATTGTTTAAATAAATATACTAGATTTCTTCGTCATTATGGGTTGGGTTGGTTGGGTGCAGTTATTAGGAAGAGGAAGAGCGAAGTTAGATCGACGGGGTTGGTGTGTGTGTGTACTGTTGTGGATATAGCGTCTCCCCTAGGTCGACTCAGCCTCAAATGAGTACCTGGTGCGGTGTGTAAACATCGTTACTAGGGAGACAAAGGTGGCCGGACGCGGTGCTGGCCACCCACCCCCTCATGTGCCGTGCCGGCCTTCATAGGTGCTCGCTAACAGCACTTGCCCCAACAGTCCGTTAAGGCTATACGTGGGATCTTTGTCTTTGTTGTCTTTGGATATAGGGTTGTTATACAGGTGGGAGTAGGCCAGGCAGTCGGGAAGATGGCGGGTTAGGATGAAGCCAAAAATGCAAGGTCAAGATGTTTCACATTTTCACACAGTCACAAAAGGGGCAATTATCGCTCACAAAAGACCAATTCATTGCAGGCTATTAAACAGAGACATCAAGTGCCCCCTCGGTCGTCCTGATTTGAACCCAGGCTCTTCATGCCTGCATCCGCACACTCAAGCGCCCAGGTCCACAAGTCCATCATGCAAATGATGGGACTTTAGAGGAGCTTAATTGGTTGGGGCGCACCCTGGAACGAGCACGCCATGCCATGGCCGTCGGCCGCGGAGCGCACACACCCATACACACACGCTGTTAACAGGATAACACAGATCCGCGACAGAAGGAATTATAAATTATGTCAACGCTTTAGGCCCATATATGGAGTAACAGAGCGTGGCTTTGCCTATACAGTCATACCTCGGTATACGACCGCTTTGGAATACGTCGAATTTGGTATACGTCGCCTTTTGACGAAAAAAAATGTCTTGGGATACGATGTCTTGCTTGGGATACGATGCGCTTGCTAGAACTTGTATGGGTCGAGATGAGTCACCGCGTACCCGCGTCTCCCCCGTTCACGATTCCTCCCCTTCCTCACCACCATCCTCGTAGGCTAACAACTCCTCTCAGCAAGGTAAAGTGACGTTACATTTATTTTTA